TCGACGAGGACCAGCGGGCGCCGTACGAGCCTCCGCGGGGCGAGTACATGTACACCAAGATGAACTACTTCCGGCGGCTACAGCAGGACTGGGTCCGCGTCTCACCACCGACCAAGCCGTCGCCGACCCATGGCATGTACCCGCCGCCCCATGTGTTGCCTGCCGCAGGTACTCCATCTCTGCCATCGCCTTGTATCCATGATGGCATGCGGCGTGTAGTTTTTGCGCGAGGCGACGCCAAAGAAGGCTTCCAGACCGTCCACGAGGCGCCGCCGCATCGCTACCAGAGCGGCTGGTCGACTGTCTTTTCGATCTGGAACACAATGATCGGGTCGACGCTCGTCGCGCTGCCGTACGGCTTCTCGTGCAGCGGTTTGTTGATCCTACTACACACAAGAGTCTCTCATCTCTCCATGTAGGGATCATCCTCGGCATTGGCATCGTCCTCCTCATGGGCGTCATCTGCTGCCACGCGTGCAACCTCGTCGTCACCTACGGCAAGGTACGCTCATGTTCACCTTGGGCCATCCAAGACACTCTGTATACAGGACTTTTCCGACTTTGGCGACCTCACGCAGTATCATTTCGGGCGGCGCGTCCAGCTCTTCGCGATGACCGTCTCGTTGCTCGTGCTTGTCGGCGCGTGCATCGCGTACCACGTGCTCATGAAGCAGTGCGCGTACGCAGTGTTTAGCGCGCTCTTGCATTGGTCAGGGCGATCGGACCTCGCCGCACACTGGACGCCGTCCGCCGCTGCCTTGTTGGTGCTCCTTCTCTTCCCCGTGACGAATCTCAAGCACTTTTCGACGCTCGTGTTTCTCAACTCGCTCGGCATTCCGTTTGTGCTGTTTACGATCGTATTCATCGTCTACCAGGGCGTCGACACGGTTGTCACCGGGCGGCTCGATGACGATATTGTCTTTGGCGGCAAGTCGACCTTTGGCATCCTCGGCGGCATCGTGACGCTCTCGTTCTTCATCCACAATGCGATCCAGCCCATCGTGCGGCACTGTGACCCGTCGCAGCGCCAGGTACATGTCGATTGTACAGCGACACTTGTCCACACATGCGTTTGATGTAGCGCCACGTGACAACGGCGTATACGCTCGTGGGGCTGAGCTACACGGCAGTCGGCGCACTTGGCTACATTGGGTTTCCCCACGGCCACATCCACCAGAACTTTCTCGACGCCTTCCCCATCACGTACATGCATTTTGCCGGCTCGAATGGTGCTCATGCAAGTTGTGCTAGCGATGTATTTGCGTTTAGCGCCCGGGCGTCGCTCTTACTGCAGCTGGCGACCGTGTACCCGCTTGTGCTTCTCATTGTGCGCACGCAGCTCTTCCACTTGGTCTTCCATACGGCGTGGCCTGGCCTTTTGCCCGTGGTGGGTCTCAACGTCATCGTCATGACGGTCACGACGCTCTTTGCTATCTACTACCCCAACTTCGGTGACGTCTTGCGCTTTACGGGCGCGATCGGCGGCTTTGTACTCATCTTTGGCGTCCCGATTGGCATCCACTTGAACGCACGCGTCGCCAAGCGCCACTTGACGAAGCGGTCGCTCGTTGTCTACGGCGCGATGGGCTGGATCGGCCTCGGGCTTCTTGTGCTGCAGTTTGTGCCCATGCAGCAATAGAATAAGACTCGTACCAATAAGAAAGAGTAGTCGTGCGTTTGATGCGCCTTGATGAGTCTGTCATGACGCAGCGATCCTCCTCGCAGCCAAGGTCCAAGATCGCTGAGTTGGTGTTGTCGGTAATCAGGACAATCACTCCCAGTTTGCCGTTTGCGTTTGCTTGCGACGATACGACGAGGACACTGACGAGCAGCTCTACATCATCGAGTACCTGCTGAACACCCGTCAGTTCAACTGCCAGCGCCAGTACCTCGTCCAGTGGCATGACCTTCTGCGGCACGAAGCGTCGTGGGAGCGCGAGCGCGACTAGACAGAAGTCAACGCTCGACCTTCGCTGCGCTGCGGTGCGCAGACTTTTCCGGGCCAACGCGCCGTCGTCGCAATACCGTTAATCAACGCTTCGCATTCAATACAAAAGTTCCTACCAGCTCACCCCGCAAGGGACCTGTTCTGCGCACCCATAGGTCGCGCTCAGGTCGGAGCGGACCGCGCTCGTCGCTCTGCTCCAGCATCATCTAGGCTCCGCGCATTAGCCGCGAGCCTGTCTGGACGCAAAGTGCACAGACGAGTGGAGCATCGCCGTCTTCGTATTTGGTAGCAATCGGTTACGATAGACTGCAAGAAATCACTTTTTAATAAATATGGTCGATTTCTCGGGCTTGACAAGCACCATTTCCTGTCAGGTTGAAATGTGTGCTCGACACTGCAACCTAGTAGTGACGAGACCCAGATTCACGCCGCCATCGCCTCCAACGACTCGCTTCTCGCGACTCTGCAGCAGCCAACTCGAGCTACTTTGTGGTCGAATGGACCGCCGCACTCGACGGACGACTTGGATTCGGTCGCCTCGTCCGAGATGAAGCCGCTTGCAGAGCCATCGACTTGCGTTTCACCGACTTGCCCCATCAACAGCGTCCGCCAACTCGTCAACGCCTCCTCCAACTGCAACAGCAAGGACGATGCAACGTGCCAGACGCATTGGATGTACAACAACTAGAAACAAGATCTTATAATACGATAATCAAATAAAAATCAACAACTAATGTGATGATGCAGTGCAAAAGTCTGACCCGCGTCTATGCAAGGACCCGCGACGTAGTGTATCAAGATATCAAGTCTAGCCATAGCGACGACTCCATATCTATTTCGGGCGATGCGCTGAGCATGGCGACGCCACGTACGACAGCGACGACGACGGTCGAGAGCGCTGAAGCCAAAGGGGTCGCGGCGCTGTGCGCTGACGCACGCGCGCTGGCTGTCAAGGGCGTCCTCAAGGCCAAGGCCGGCGACAATCTCAGCGCCATCGCGCTCTTCGAAGCCAGCATTGATGTACCAGTCCACGTTCTCTTCTTCGTGTCAGCCAAGCACTCGTAGATGGATCCCGACAGCTGGATCTTGTGGAAGCACTTGGCCATGGCGCAGTTTGATCTCTGGCGCTACACGGCGACACTGCCACCGACAAATGACGGCGTCGCCTTTCTCGAGCGACACAAGACGTCGTCACGCGATGCCGCCAACGCCTTCTTGCAGGTACCTCAACGACGACCTGGTAACGACTAAGGGTCCTATGGTGCAGCGGGCCTACGACACGTTTATCGTTGCGATGGAGTACGCAGAGAACAAGACACACCCGGCGCTGCTTCTTCGGCTTGGGTTCTTGTACGTGGAGCTGCACGCGTACGAAGGGGCGCTCACCGTGTGCACGCTTCTCCTCGAGACGTGCCGGGACTACAAGCACAAGCCCGACGCCATCTTCCTTACGGCGGCTGTCGCGTCCATGCTGCAGCACCCGCTTCAGAGCAGCGAATATTTTTCCCACCTCCTCGAAGCACCGCCGTATGCGCTTGCGTCGTACCAGCTGCACCTGATAGCAGGTCTGTTGTCTCCTTGGTTACGTAGCCGAATGAAAAAGGAGGGTAGGTATGCAATGCGACAAGGACGCTGGCAACACCGAATCCCACGAGCGTGCACGTATCTTGTACGAAGCTGGCTACCAGCGTCTCTTGAGCGACTTCAGCGACGCCCGAGACGCGTCGCTGCCCGCGTCCGTCGCCACCGCCCTAACGCTCTACCAAACGTCGCGCAAAACCGAATCGGAGCGTCTCCAGCTCTGGATCGCCGATCCGGCGCTGTGGGAGGAGCTCGCTTGTGCTGTGTTTGCGGCCAACCATGCGACGGTGGCCGCGAGCGCGCTCGAGTACGCGATCGCACGGGGCGGCGGCAACAGCGCGTCGCTCTTGCTCGTGCTGGGCCGTGTCCACCTTCGACTCGGAAACAGTGCAGTCGCCCAAACCGCGCTCGAGCGAGCTCTGTACATGGAGTACTACTCGTCGCCCGCAACTCGGTACTACCTCGGCCTTCTGTGCCCGCCGTGGGCCGAATACTTTGCTGCCGAGACGCGCGGCGCGACGCAACTACAGCGGCTCTCCCGCGGCCACTGCGGACGCCGATATGCCCGCGCCTGCCGGGTACATTTCTTGTTTTTAACTATCCCAACTCGTTCTAACGCAAATGGAGTAGCATGCGCGCAGCCAGCGCTGGCAGCGGAAATGGTGCGTGCTCACGCTCTTCCATAGCAAGTGCCGCGCCGCCGCGCTCGCCGTCGCCGAACGCAAGGCGCGCGAACTCGCACGCGAGGCCGCCGCACGAGACACCATGTACGCGAACGACGTCTACCTCCTCTTGCAGCGGTTGAATGCCGCGGCCCGGCGCATCCAGAGCCTGTACCACATCCAAGAGGCCAAGAAGCTCAAAGCCCAACGGCGCGACTGGGCCGCCAAGCACCGGCAACTGCTCGAGCGCGTGCTGCGCCATGGCAACGAGCGCTGGGTGCAAGCGTGTTTTGCATCTTGCGCTGCGTATGTGCAGCTCACACGAATCGAAAAGGAGGCGGCCGCCCTCATGCTCCAGAGCAACGTGCGTCTCTGGCTCGCGCGTCGCCGGTTTCTTGCGGCCAAGGCCAAGGAAGCCAGCCACCGACGCCTCGTAGCGCTCTTTCTTGGGCAGCGCAGTGCACAGCGACGGCGCAATACGTTTCTCGCGTGGTACTCGATGCACACGCACGTGCGCGCACTGAAGCGAGCAAGTGCAAGTCGACTCCAGAGCTGGTGGCGCGGACGCCGTGCGCTCTGGGAGTTCCGACTTGCCATGGCCCACCGACGCCGCGTGCTCAACCACGTCGAGGCGCTGGTTCTCGGGCGCCACGCCCACTGGCGCCTGCAGTGCTTTCGGCACTGGGCAACGTATCTCGCCACGCGCATGGTTCTCAAGCACCGGTGCGCCACGCGGATCCAGCGACGCGTGCGCGGTCTTCTTGGTCGCAAGCGCGCGCGCAGACTCCGTGGTCGGCACGTCTACTGCGAGCGCATGGTGATGCACATGCAGCGCACAACGGCGTCGCGTCTCATTGAGCGCGTACTTCACATGTGGCTGCTCTACCTCGAGCTGCGGGCGCGGGAGAAAGATCTGGCCGCGACTTTGATTCAACGCTGCGTGCGCGGCCACTTGACGCGGCGCCAGTACCGGTTCGAGCGCGAGTACCACCAAATCTACTACCCGAACGTGCTCTCAACGCTACCTTTGGTCATGGTACCGCTGCGGCTTGTCTTTTTGGCGTGGAAGACTGCCCGCCGGTACCGGAGCGAAACCCAATCGCGCGCAGCCCACTGCATTCAGCGCGCGTACCGCCATAGCTTGCACCAACGGCGCGGTCGGCAGCTGCGCCACCGCCTCCAACGACAGCACGCGATTCTTCTCTCGCTCCAGCGAACGTTCTACGGCATTGCCAAGCAGTTTTTCGACGTCTTGCGAACGCTGCGCCAAGCGACAAGCGGCAAGCGCCATGCAGCGGCAGTGGTGCTGCAGCGGTCGCTCCGCGGCTGGCTCGCGCGGCGCGTCGTCAAGCGCTTGGCTGCGCAGCACGTGGCGTCGCGATCACTCATGGCACGCGTCGTCAACCACCGGTCGCGACAGTGGAAGGAGCGCGTTTTGACCGACTGGAAGGCGCTTTTGCGAGCGAGTCGGGAGAAGAAGTGCGACGCCGTCGTCCGCATTCAGCGACGGTACAGAGCGCTGGTCGCCATGCGCCGCGCCCGCACCGTGATGGACAAGAAGGCGCGACAGCTGCGGCTCCTCGAGCAGGCGACCGCGAAACCCATTGCGCGCTGCTTTCAGCAGTGGGCGTCGATTCTCATCTCGAACGCCGTCGACGCGCTCCAGTCGCTCGCCGCGTCACCGCTCCAGCGCATGAAGGAGCTCGAGCGCGCGCAAACGTCAACCACGCTGCCATCGCAGCGCGAGGTTGAGTGTTTTTCGTTTTGAGATTGAGATTCATGTTCGCAATCGAGAGTAGACGAACGCGGTCCCGACCATGCTCTTCTTTCACGTGCTGACGCGCGTGCGCAACACAGGGCTCTGCCACCTCCCGCCAGCGTACGCTCCATACATGCAATTTACGATGAGGCGAGTTTGGATGATGCAGACACGGCTTTGACGTCACGCAGCTTCGCCAGCTCTTCAGCCTCGCAACGTCCGTCATCTCGGACGGCGGTCCTGCCCTGTACGTCATATGCGCAAACCCATGTACGTGAACGAGGCGACGTCGTAGGCAGCTGTCGACGGGGCAAGCAATCGTCGACGCGCTGTACCTCTCGAGCGCCAGTCCCGTGACCAAGCTCATTCTGTACAACCATACGCTGCTCGACCTTGTCAAGCTCAGTCGGTGCCTCTCGTTCCCAACGCACCACATACAGTCGCTCGTGCTTGGCGGCACCAAGCTCTCGACGCGCCACGTGACCGCGCTGGCGCTGGCCTTGCTGCCAGGCCAGAGCCAGCTCGAGCAGCTCGTGCTCGAATCGTGCAGCCTCGGTATCGGTGAAGCCCGCCGCTTGTGTGTCACGCTCTGTGTAGGCAACGGCAGCGGCGCGGTCCTCGCACGAGCGCTCTGCGCCAACAAGACGCTGTGGAAGCTCGACCTCAGTCGCAACCACCTCTCGGACCCCGTGTGCCGGGAATTCGCCACGCTCCTACTCGAGAATGGCCGCCTCCAGGTACGGACCACTTGCCTCGGTCTTGCTCATGCAGGATCATCCTAGGTGCTGAGCTTGAACGCCAACGATATCTCGGACGTTGGTGTGCTTGGCGCGTTCGTTCCTGCGCTGCGCAACCTCCCATCGGCGTCGCTGCTCGAGTCCATGCAGCTCCAGAGCAACCGACGCATTACCAAGCGCGGTGCGGCCGAGGTCCTGCGCGCGGCTACGCTCGGCTCGCGCCGCCTCTGCGTCGATACTTGAGGCCACGCGAAATGGGTGTTAAGTTATGACTGATTCAGACAGTAGAAGCGACAGTGCGTCTTCTCTACGTGCGTTTGGTCAAGGCGGCCGAGATCTTGAGGTGCGCGGTGAAGCCCGGGAGCACGGCGCCGTCGAGGTCGCGCACCGCGCGGTCGACATCTGCCGCGTTCTTGAGCGCGACAAAGCCAAAGCCGCGCTGCGTGATGCGGATGTAGTCGTACGTAAAGTCGGCAAAGAGCCGCGCGAGGTCCGACCGGTTGGCTTCGCTCGGGAGGTTGCCCACGTACACGTCAAACTGGTTGTTGTGCGGCATGCGCATGTCGGGCCCTGGCATATTGTACCTACATGAGACCATGTCCATGAGCACCTTCCTACTTGAAAGCAAGAGGCGATGTCTACCGCGGCGGCGGGCGGGCGGGCGTCGCGGCCATGTCCGTGTGGCCCCACCATACGTTGTGCAAGATAACGACTTCGGGGTTGCCGTACTCGTCCTTCGTCGGCACGTTGAGCACGAGGTCGTCGCCTTCGCGGAGCGGGATCTCGTGCTTGAACTCGTCGACAAACACCTCGTCCACGAAGAGCGCAAAGCCGGACGGTGTGATCGTGATGCGCAGCATGAAGCGGAACGGCGTTGGGTTCCCAAAGACGAGCGGGCATCGCTGGACGATGTGCGCAGTGCCCCACCGGCCCTCGACGAAGCTGTTGAGGAGGATCTGGCCGCCACGCATCTTGCGCGGGTTCAAGTGGCACACGATCGTACCGTCGGTCGTCGCGAGGTTCAATACGAAGCGGCACGACGAAGGCGGGATCGTGCCGTTGACGACCAGTGTGTTGTTGGTGCGGAAGACAACTGCGGGCAGCGTCACGGCCAGTGGCTCGTCGCGGTGCGACGCCCACTCGTCGGTGCGCAGAAAGCTCTCGGGGGGCAGCTGGATGCCGCGGCCGTTCCCAAGTCGCATCTCGCCCGTGACCGTGTTGATGACATTACCGGGCTCGGCCACAGGCGGCGCCGCCATGCGCGCCCGCTTCAGTGGTGCGGCCGCGCCCGACGCCGACGGCTTCAAGAGGTCGGCCAGCGGGTTCGTGCGCTTCACGGGCGCCGTTTTCAGCGCGGCCTTGCTCATCTGGCTCGTCTGCTGCTTGGCCTTGGCGGCCATGACGGCCTTGACACGCTCAATGGCCGAGAGGTTCGAGTGCACGCCGGGGCTCACGCTGGTTGGCGCATGCGGCGTCGCCGGTGCGAGCGGCGCGGCCACGGTCAGCGGCTCGCTGTGCGCCGACGCGTCTGCCGACGTGTGCAGCTTGGCGATGTCATCGTACAACTTCTGGAGCAGGATCTCTTGCTGCGTGAGGAAGAGCCCGTCGTGCGCCTGGAGTCGCTGCGGCTCGTCGTCACCCATTGTCGCCAAAATTCAAAAATACTATTGAGACTGCGTCCGGGCCAATAATATAATACCACATATTTAATTAGGAATAGATAAGGCTATATTGAGCTACGAAATTGAATAAAAAGATTGTGGCCTCGTGGATTCTATGATTCTCGAATTCAGAGCCGCTTGGATCATTATTTCATTTTGCGAGCGGAAGGGAACGACGCAGCATGCAGCTCACGGTCACGCACGAGGAGCATGTGCTCCAGGTCGAGGTCGACGCGGCCGACCCGATCGAGAACCTCAAGGCCATCATTGAGGCTGAGGTACGAGGTCATGCAGCAACCAGGCGCCCACCCGACCTCATCGACTAGATCAACCTGCCCATGGCCCATCAGATCTTGGTGCTGAACGGGCGACAAGTGAACCCCGAGCACACGGTAGCCTCTCACTACATTATGAGAAGTAATTGCTTAGGGTGGCGCTCTCTAGGTTGGCCAAGCAGGGATCCAGAACAACGACTTGATCCTTGTCATGACGCCGGCCGCGACAGCGCCGCCACCGGCTCCAGCGATGGGTTCGGCCCGACTTGGGGGACCTGCGACCCAAGCCCGTGCTGGTATGACCTTGCGAGACATTCCGGTGTGTACCCGTGTAGTTGACAGCAAAGGCTCATGATTTCTAGCCCAATTGCTCGGCGGAACAGCTAATTGAGATCATGCGCTTGAATCCGCAGTTGCTACCACAGGTATTAACCTACAGCGTTCCTCATCTATCACGAACGCACAATGTTGTAGGTGGAGAGCGGAAACGCGCCCATGGCCGCGGCCATCCGGGTCAACAATGTCTCGGTACGACGAGGATACGGCCCCGTGATGGCTTGTATGGCTTGTACGACCAAAGGTGTAGGAAGTGCGCATGCTCTTGATGAAGCAATACATGGAAGCCGCTAGCCGCAAGTACCAAGAGGAACAAGAGGTAGGCAGCGAGGCCAACATGCAGGGACCCAAAGAGCCATACTTCCGTAGCTCATTGCTCTCAATGCCAATCCGTTCTCGGAAGAAGCGCAAGCCAAGATCGAAGAAGCTATTCGGCTCGGGAACGTCCAACAGAACATGGAGATCGCCATGGAAGAGATGCCCGAGGCTTTTGGCCGCGTCTCGATGCTGTACATTCCGACTGTAGTCAATGGCACGCCCGTCAAAGCCTTCGTCGACTCGGGCGCTCAGTCGACCATCATGTCATCGGTACTATCGAGTCTACCTTCTCAGGTCGCTGACGATATCTCCATAGAGCTGTGCGGAGCGCTGCGGCATCATGCGTCTCGTCGATCGGCGCTACGCCGGGCAGGTGCGTCTGCCCATCGACTTGCACGTTCTTGACGCGTTGCGGTCCAGGCGGTCGGCGTCGGGACGGCCAAGATCATTGGTCGCGTGCACATGGCCGAGCTCAAGATTGGCTCGATCTTTTACAACTGTAGCTTTACGATCCTCGACCAGCAGGTTGCATTGCCAACAGGATGCGTCCGACTGAATCGGTGTGTAGGGCGTCGACTTTCTCTTTGGCTTGGATATGCTCAAGCGCCACCAGTGCTGCATCGATCTGCACCGAAACCTCTTGGTCTTGCGCGACCCGACCGGTGGTTCGCACGAAGTGTCGTTCTTGCCCGAGCACGTACGGCCTTTTTCTCAATAAGTTCGCAGTCGAAAGTTTGTCGCAGGAAATTCCAGTGAGCGCACACGACGCGCCGCCAACAACGCCGTTGCCATCGACGCCGACGCCGGCCCCGTCGACTCCATCGGCGACGACACCTGGTCTATCGCCAAACCAGGCGGCCAAAGTTGCTCAACTGGTTGCCTTTGGCTTCCCAGAGGGACCGGTACGGCGCATGTTCGGTGTAACTGTGTCTGACGCTCCGTTAGGCGCTTCAAGCGCTCCAGTCGTGCAAGTGGAACGTCGACATTGCTGCCGGCCTCCTCTTTGAAAACTAGCGGGCTGTGTATAAAGCATAGCACACATGTTACAATAACCGCAGTACATACTAGCAACGGCTCTCGACGCCGGCCATCGATTGGGAGCGGTATTAGCTCCTGGATCGAAGCACAATTTGCCACCACATTCGTCGGTTCAGCACCCTCGTCAAAAGCGCAAATTTTAGGACTTAGTCGAATTTTACTGCGACGGAAACGTGGCGACGACGGCCTCGATGTGGCGCAAGGGGCAGAGCACGTCGTCGACGCCTCCAAAACAGACGTCATTGCCGTCAAAGTTGGCCTTGACGAACCAGTCGCCGGTCGACTTGGAGCGGTGGAGCTCAAAGGTCAAGATCGAGCCGTACTCGGGCACCAGGAACGGTACGTTCGGGCGGTGCAGCTCAAACGCGTGGAGAAGGCCGCAGAGCGTGTCGTCGTGCGCCGACAAGAGCGTGAGCTTGTGGCGGCTCGTGCCCTGCACCAGGTAGCATCGTGAGAAGCGCCATTATGATCGCATATGAGTACCTGGACGGCGTCCGCGAGGTAGCTGTATGCTTCGTGGACCCCGCGGCCAAAGGCTTTGGCAAGGAACGAATGGTCCGAGAGGTGCGCGTGCCACTCCCACGCGTTGTGGAGAATCGACTGCTGCACGACGTCGAGCGACATGCCGGGCGGGAACGGGAACCCGTGGGCTTCTCGGCACACGAGGATCTCGCGCACTATAGTCGTACGATATCAGAGGCCATTTAGCAACGAGAAGAGCGCACAGAAGGACCACTGGACGTCTTCGCCGTCGGCAAGGCCCACGAGCGCATGCACCTCCTTCTCGAGCGCGTCAATGTCCTTGATCGGCGACTCGTGCCGGCGCGCCTTGAGCTTGGTCGAGAGATGGTGGTAGTCCATGTGGTGGCCAAGCGACAAAGGGCACGTCGGGTGCAAGTGAATCTCGAACGCCGGCCCCTTGACGGCGTCGTAGAGCTCGGGAAACATACCGTGGAGAACGCTCTGGCCTGACTGGATCGTGCGCACGACGTTGGTCGACCGCACGTACACGTCGTCGACGGTCGGCGACGGAAGAAACGCGCGGTAGCGCTCGCGGAGACCACGGCCCTTGCCAATCATTTGGTCGACGCCTCGCGCTGTGAGGTACCCGTTGGGCCACGCACCGCCAATGAGCGGCGCCAACGTCGGCGCGGGCTCGCCCTTCATAAGGCCTGCGCGCCTGGCTGTCGCGTCAAGCACTTGGATCTGGTCGGGTGTCGCGAGGCGAGCGCCCCAGTAGTCGCGCTCCGCGTCGTCCATGTTGATGGCCGTGCCAAGCGTGGGCAGGATCGGCGACCGGTCGCCGTGGCGGAAGGCGACGAGGACGTGGCGCAGCTCGAGGTCGACCGACATGTTGCAGTTGCTGTTGTGGGAACAAGGTCGAATTCAGAATGGCGACCCTGCAAGGTGTGTAATCACTACCTGCAGTGACACGCCGCATCCGGATGTCCGCATACGTATGCGCGACGTTGATTGGTCGAAAAGACCGTGCGGTGGACCAATGAGCGCAGTGGCAGAATCGAAACATCGGAAGAAAGGGACGCGATGGGCGGTGGCATGAAGTTCCTCAACCTCAAGGGGTGGCACCCTTCGAACAAGACCAACCAGAAGCGCATCTGGATCGCCGAGCAGAAGGCGCAGGCCAAGGTCGACGCCGAGAAGGACGCGGCCAACGAAATCAAGAAGGACGCGGAGCTCCTTCGCTTCCAGCAGGTCGACCTTGCCCGATGATGCTGGCAGAACCTCTCATGGCCCACGCAGATTGCAGCCTCCAAGGGTGACGTCGATGCGCACAAGCGCATTGACTCGCAGAAGGTCTCGTTCATGTACCAGCCGCCGCCGGGGCTCCAAAAGATCAACGAAAAGGTCGACGCGGGCGAGGCCGACGACGCCGTCCTGGCCTTTCGCAGCAAGATCGAAAAGAAGGCTGCGGCCAAGGATGCGTCCAAGTCGCAGCGTAACCTCGAGCGATACGTCGGGCGTCGGCCCAATGAAGCCATCTCCATCAAGGATCAAGTTGGTACTGTTCTATTATCCATCGGCGATGTTCGCCCTTGACATCCTGTGCCATATGCTTGTAGAGCGCTTTCCCATGCTCAAGGATGCACCCGTCGAAGGCGAGTACACGGGCAACATCCGCGTCAACTTTCAACCCGTCGGTGTCAAGCTCCGGAACGTCAAGTGCATCCGCTGCGGCGAGTGGGGCCATCAGTCGGGCGACCGCGAGTGCAGTCTTCGCGAGTTCAATCCCCTCGGTAGCCATCCTTTCTATTCACAACAGCAAATAACGTTTGTGCATAGATGCTGCTCGGCAAGCCATGGAAGACCCGATGCAGCTCATCCAAAAGGTCCCATTTGGCTGCAAAAACAGGCGCCTCACGGTATGCGTAGATGAACGCGTCGCGCAAGAACGACCTTGTGATGAAGTCGCTCCCGCTCGAGATGCGCACCGAGCTCTCGGGCGAGTTTGAGATCCTTCCGTCCGACGACGACGACGCCGCCGCCGGTAGCAACAGTCGTGGAATTGACTTTGACTGCACGCTTGAGTAGATCCCGAGCGCGCGTACCTTGCGTCGCTCTCGTCCAAAGAAAAGAAGAAGCTGCTCAAAAAGCTCAAGGAAGAGACGGGCGAGTCCTCGTAAGCTCGATATCGTCATCCTCTCACTCATGTTCATGACGTAGGAAGAAGCGCAAGCACAAGAGTGAGAAGAAGGCCAAGAAGGAGTCCAAGCGCCATCGACACTAACTGTACAAGATATGCGTGTACAGTACTACCATTACGCTGTCAGTCGGACGACCATCGCGTACTGGTTGGTGTGCACGGGGGCGAGGAGCGCAGCAGGGTCCACGGTCGCCTTGCGGCTCTGGAAGGGATTGAGCTGCGCCGAGATTGTATAGTGAAGGCGTCCACTGAGCGTCGTCGCGCTTGCCTCCAACGCCGTCAGGTCCCGGTGCAGATCGATGGCGCTGAAGCACGTGATAAGCAGCGGCTTGCGCGTCGCAAGGGCCATCGAGAGCGTCGGCGCCCAGAGCGAAGAGAGCGCAGGATGGCCCAGCCCTGGGTTGAAGAGCACAAATGCATTGGGCGACGGCGTCGACGGTGCCATCTCGTGGAAGAGCGAGCTGCTAAAACTCACGTGAACGGCATCGTCGCTGCTTTCGGGCGGAAGCTTCCGGAACACCGGAACGTGGTTGCCGACCATCTTGAGATGCACACGGTGTGGGTTCAAGACGCCCCACATGTGCTTGGGCATCGTCGCTTCGGCCCGGGCGCCCAGGACGTACAGTGCCACACGTTCCTCGCTGGCGGCGCATAGGTCTATATGTAGGATCGTGAGGCTCTCAAACCTCGTCGACACGCTACCTGGAAGGTAATGATGGAGCGTCATGGGGTACGAGTACGCAGCCGAGAGCAAGCGGATCGCTGCAGGATCACTCAGAGGCGCATCGATCGCCGCCAATAGTGCTTCCCAGGAGGCGTACGTGTCCGACCCTTTGTGCGCCGCCACTAGAGGGATAGCATCCTGCATGAGACGTGCATTGAAGAGAAGATGCGCAATATTCGTACGTCTCTTGATGGCATCGTGGAGCGCGGGCGATTTGGCCGCATCGGCGTCGTCCTTGAGCGTCAGGAGCTTGGCGTGGGCGCCAGCATGGTCCCTTTCCAGCGTCGCTGCACAGGCCGGCGAGCATGCGAGCACATCGCCGCCCTTGCTGCCACCGCAGATCGGGCACGGGAAGCTCCAGTACGTCGGCGGTTGCGAACTAAAGCCTCGTATCGCCGGCCATCGGCGGCGCCAGACTCGACCAAGCGCCATTGCACTCGACTGTGATCCAGATGTACACTATATTCAACGATTTACACTATTTGAATGATTTTACCTAGCCGTGAGCCGCAACTTGTCGGCGCGCGTGTGCAAGGTGGCCAACCGGTGACAACGTCGAGTGCACGTGCACAAGCAGTAGAGGTATCTATCGGCCACCAAAGGAATCCAAGACAAAGTGTTTGAGCTATAGCATCAAATGAGCGTTTCGACTATATGACACTATTTACTTGTAAAAAACGTAATAGTGTGTGTGCGGCAGACCCAAAGACGAAGCGATGGAGATTGCGGGCGAGGATGTCATCCGGCTCATGCAGCAGTTCCTGCGCGAGCACAAGCTGTACGAGACGCTGCACACGCTCCAGCGCGAGAGCCAAGTGACGCTGAACGCCGTCGACTCGGCGGATGCGCTCCTGAGTGACATCACCTTTGGCAAGTGGGACCGCGTTTTGCTGCAGACGCAGCACCTGCACCTGCCGACGCCCGTCATGGTCGACCTCTACGAGCAGATCGCGCTCGAGATGGCCGAGCTTGGCGAGTTTAGCGTTGCTAAGGAGCTTCTCACGTTGGCCGCGCCGCTCCAAGCGCTCAAGGAATCCGATATCACGCGCTTCAACCAGCTCGATCGCCTCACTGCACCACGGGCCACGTTCGACGCCAAAACGGCCTACGCCGGCGCGAGCAAGGAGACCAAGCGTGACGAGCTCGCGCATCGCATCAAGAAGCATGTGACGACGGTGCCGCCCTCGCGGCTCCTGACGCTCCTCGGGCAAGCGCTCAAGTTTCAGCAGCTCAGCGGCGTCCTCCCGTCCGAGCTCGATCTGTTCCAGAACGCGGCCAAGCGACTCAAGGTGGACCGCACGGAAGAGAAGATCCAGGCACCCCACGGCAAGATCAAGTTCAGCAAGGCGTCGTGCCCGCAGACGGCGCAGTTTAGCGCCGACGGTACACGATATATATATTCTCTTTTGCATGCTCATGACGCTGTGCAGGTAGCATGCTCATCACGGGCACGAAGGATGGGTTCGTCGAGGCATGGGACTTTGACAAGTGCGAGCTCAAGAAGGACCTCGAGTACCAAGCGCGGGTACGAGGCTGCACGCGTATGACGTCGCAGCCGACGCAATGCTAGGACGACTTTATGATGCACGAAGTGGGCGTGTCGGCCGAGGCGTTTAGCCGCGACGGCGATCTCCTCGCGACGGCCAGTGTGGACGGCAAGGTCAAGGTGTGGAAGATCTCGACCGGGCAGTGCCTCCGCCGCTTTGAACACGCGCACGGCAACAGTATTCACAGCATTTGCTTCTCGCGCGACGGCACCCAGCTCCTCACCTCGTCCTTCGACCAGCTCGTTCGGTACCAACCACTTCCTCCATGCTCCAGGCTTGCATCATGGATCCCGATATTAGGCTGCATGGGCTCAAGTCGGGCCAGACCCTCAAGGAGTTCCACGGCCACGACGGATACGTCAACCACGCGGTCTTTTCGTCTGATGCGTCCAAGGTCATCTCGGCCTCGTGCGACGGCACGCTCAAGGTACGCCACGTCATTTCGCAGCAGTTGTTCTATCGCACTGTCGTAGATCTGGGATGTCAAGAGCGCGTCGTGTGTGGCGACGATGCGCCCGCCGCACGCCGCCGCCGGTGTCGAGATGGACGTGCTCAGCGTGCTCACTGTACCGACGCTCAAGGACGCATTGTTGCTCTGCACCCGTTCCAAAGCGCTACATTTGATCAACTTCCACGGCGACTCGCTGCGTGCGTTTGTCGATCCGTTCGATGCGATCGAACCGAAGGGCGACTTTGTCGGCGCCGTGCTCTCGCCGAAAGGCACGTTCCTCTACGGCCTCACGGAGAAGGGCTACGTGCTCTGCTTTGCGCTCGCAAGCGGGACCCTCGAGCACGCGATGCAGGTCTGCAACGGCGAAGTCTTTGGCATCGCCCACCACCCGCACCGCAACGTGCTCGCGACGTACGGCAACGATGGCTACGTGCGTCTCTGGACCGCCGGGAGTTTGGATTAATTCATAAAGAGAACCGCAGCGGGCGACGCCTCTAGGAACATGGTGAAAACGATGGCTAGTGCAACGGGTCGGTGTACGGGCGACGGGGGGGCGTGTCTCGAGAGCGACCGACGCTGGCATCTCGAGATGATTGCCCGATGCGTCCGGTACCACCTCGGACATCTACATGAACCGATGCAGTCAGATCGATCCAGGCCAAGCTACGGTGGAATCGAAAACCATGGACAGCGTCGGAACTGCAAACGTCGGTGGCGTCGCTGGACGTGCGTCGGCGCCTAAGATGCAATAAGTATTGTCCACCACCGACGGGGCGTGTACGAGGAGGACTCTCGGCAGTTGTGCGTGCGTCTTGGAGCGCTGCGACGATGCCGTAGACCAGCGGGATCTGGTTGTAGCGCGGGTCTTCCGCAACTGCAAGCTGTGAGTATGTATATTGAGGCTACGAGGACGACGTACTGTGGAGCTCGTGGGCGAGGAAGCGGCGCTGGAATGGGCGCTCGAGTGGCTGGCCCGACTCGGGCAGGAAGACCGAGAGCGTGTGGCGATACCCGTTATACTCCAAGTACTCGCGGATAAGTTCGTTGATGATCAGGTTTTCGTTCGAGAGCTTGGGCTTCACGCCGCCCTACTTGACAATCAGTGCAAATGACGGCGTGGCGGCCTCACACCTCGTCCAAGGCTTGGAAGATCTCGGCGCGCAGCCGCGCTTTGATCGGACCCAGCGAGCCCCGCGCTTCGAGCGTCTCCTTAAGCGCTACGCCAGACCGTCGTCTGAGCTTCGTCGGGTCATACGTGGCAGCCTACCGTCCTTCAGGTCGCCCAGCGAGAGCGTCTCGTCCATGTTGCACTTTGATTTGAGATCCGGTTACCGTATCCGGAAGATCGCATAAAAGCCAACTACCTGTGCATCTTGGTCAGATCCCAACGTTGCCGATGGTCCGGACCCGAGCGATGACGCGGGCGCCCGACGTGGAGCTCACCGACGTCCAGCGCTACGAGGCCGCGCTTGCGCTCGTCAAGCCTCAGACGCTGGATCGACCGGCGCGGCCAAGAAGAAGCTGTGGCGCGGTCGGCTGGATCGACCGGCGCGGCCAAGAAGAAGCTGTGGCGCGGAACCGGAGCATCCGGTTAATCGCCTCTCATTATCCGGATTGTCAACAGCAACGAATTCTGGGTCCTTGCGTGGGTCGCGCCATTGCTTGGCAGCTTGCAAGACCCAAAGCTCTTGGGAAATAAAAGACGTTGGCTCAAAAGTGTGCGCTTCATTGTCCGAGTACGTTGAAGATGCTATTATAGGATGTTGGCGCAAGCGATTTCCACTTGGACCAGCAGGGACACATGACAAAGTCCCAGGACCAAGGTTCAAGCTGCGCAATCGTGTCGTCCTGCTTTGCGAGACGGCTCTCTGCATGGAAGAGATCTACCTGGAGCTGCTCGACAGGTTTCTTCATGGTGGCGTTGAAAGCGCATTTTGACATGGCTGTATTCAGTGGAATATAAACTACCCTTTCCCAAACGACGACTACACGGCTACACACCTCGCACTAGGACCATTCGGGCAAAAGAGATGGGAAGCAGAATCAAGAATAAAGTCTGCGATCTGTGCAGATCAAAGATCCTTTATGGTGAAGTGACGGGGCTCTCGAGCAAAATCCCTCTGGCATGCGCGTAGCGGTATCGAACGTGGCGCTTCTTGGCTTCAGTCTCAAACGTCTCGCTGTCAAGAGACGGCAGGACATGACGCGAGTGCTTCGCCCAAGGCCAAGTAGCTGTGCACGGACAGCGGAGCGCCACCGAGAGTAAGGCTGGAGCCAAAATGGCTCGTCGTGCGAGGAAGAGCAGCCGCCAGCGCCATGACAGCTGCGTCGTTAATGGAGTCGTCTTTAAAGAGGATCGATGTGGCGCCGCGATGGATCCAGTCGGGCGCTGCATCGACCAAGATTCGGCGGGTTGCAATCGAAGGACAGAAAACCGAGCATTCGATCCATGCGAGCTCGTCGAGGATGCGTAGTTGGGAGATGCTGGCTGCAAGCAATTCCCACATATTCGAGGTGCGCGTCATGCGGACAAACGTGACGCGCCGAAGCGTCGAAGGGAGCACCACAGTCGTTGGCGACGGCCCATCGAGGAATCCATCAACCAGTTCCATGTGTTCCAGCGCTGGAAGTGTCGACAGCGGGGGAAGAAGTTTGCAAAAGTCTTCGCTATCGCATTCGAGGCTGAGCGTGCGAAGCTTCGTGACGTCGAGGTGCTGCAGAAAGCGCACCAACACGGGCATGTCTTCTGGGTGCGTTGACACGCGTAAGCTTGTCAAACGAGAGAATGAGGGCGCGACGGCAAGGAGCGGCGCAAGGAGCCCGAGCCAAGGGAGACAAGCTCGAGACTCGAGAGTGCCGTGGTCTTGAGAAGCATCGGAACAAACGCTGGGTTCACCTCATCTTCGGTCGCAAAGAACGAAAAGGCCAAGTGCTCTGCGTGGCCCGACGATAACCAACGGTCCAGAGTCGCGAAGTCGAACTCGAAGATATAGCAATCGACGCTGATCGAGCGGACGCGGTGCGCCGGCGTCGTGACAGCCTCCATGATCTCTTCGGCTTCGGTCGCCTCTCTGACGTCGACAGCGACGAGGTTCGTACACTCACGCAGAACGTCGCAGAGGTCCGGATAGTTAAAGAGCGCGTCGTTTTCAACTTGCTTGTAGTGTGTGATCTTGGCGCTCCACAGACGAAGCCACTCGACGGCGTCGAGATCACTTAGTCGAGCAGCAAGCTAGGTCCCAGCGCTGGCGGGGAAAGATAAGCATCGCATCACCAGACCGGTGGCTGCAGATGTGATCACATCGAGGCGAAGCAGAGGCCAGAGCGCACCCAGAGGCTTTGGCTCCGTTGGCAGAACGTGATGTTGCGCGGCTTGTAGGAGCTCATGACGCGCGGCCAGCGCGATGCTGCGAGCCGACGCCGGGAGCACAGCGAGGAGGGCTTTCACGTCCTCGGCAGCAGGGACACACTGGACGATGACCACAAGGACGTGGTCGAGGTCCAGCACCGTCGACAAGGCCGCAGCTTGGCGCTTGTTGCTCATGCTGGATCGTTTGGTGTCCCGAAACTCTCCCTCCAATTCAATCTCAACACTATGAAACTCAATCGTGTATTTCTCAAAATCGGTGCAAAAACACAAACTTTGACGTTGGGTATCAAGTACAACGCTGTCGTCGCCACCGACGAGTTGTACAATAGCATTGCACAAAGCTCTCACCACGGATGCTCCTGGTCATGTGCAGCCGCAAGCATCCGATGTGGCTCCTGCAAAATGGCGCCAAATGTTCGTCGAGCGCCGGTGCAATCGAGTCAAGTGCGCTCAGGAGCAACGGCGACAGCTTGCGCCATGTGATGTGGCCAGTCCTGGGCATGCAGGCCAAGACATCGGTTTGGAAGATCATTGCGAGGTTCGAGACGCACGAGCTGCCGACACCGACCAACAATTTGGAACGCGGTGACGACGTCAAGGCTGATACCAAGGTGTCACTGAGCGAGATGTAGTCGGGCGCTGTAGAAAGAAAACGACCTCGACGTCAGGACAGCGCAGTAAGAACACATCAATTGGGGATAGCACCAGCGCAGACGTTGATCCCCTTTTACTGATGGCTTCGTACCACTTGAATGGTTGGGACCACACCGACGCCTTGTCGCCGACGATGTCAGATTTCCATTGCCTCCGACATCAACACTACGATGCAGATCCCCTTGCTCGCTATGCTGTGCGCCTTTGCGGTCGCTGGTGCTGCTCCAAACGACGCTGCACCGACCGATGGCGTGACCCCAAGCAACGATCCTCCAGCTCCAGCTGCCGAGGCCAACCCGAGCGGTGACGCCAAAGCCACTCCGAGCGACGAATGGGGCCGTGGCGGTGGTCGTGGCATGCATCGTGGCGGCGGCTGGGGTCATGGTCACTGGGGTCATGGTCGCTGGGGTCATGGTCGCTGGGGTCCCGGTCGTTGGGGACCTGGTCGTTGGGGTCCTGGTCGCTGGGGTCCAGGTGGCTGGGGTCCTGGTGGCTGGGGTCCTGGTGGCTGGGGTCCTGGTGGCTGGGGTCCTGGTGGCTGGTACCCCACATTGTGCGACCAGTGGGGCAACTGCGGTGGCGGCTGGTAGTCGTAATTTCCTCTCAACACGATTTTTTCCTTGAGCGCTTGAAATACTTGTGCTTTGCACAATTTAGAAAGCACGTCGTCTACTTTTTCGCTGTGTTTAGTACAGTGACAGCCGTTGAACCTATTTTATTGCAGCTTTCCATTGCTCTAGGTATCAATACTGTATTTATATAAACGGGTTGTGGATAGGGTTGTCTCGGATCGTACGCAGCATAATCGTACGAACAAGGGATCGTATATAAACCATAGTCGGACGGTACCACCTCTTTCAACTCTAGAAAACTACGCTGTCGGACTGGCGAGCGCAATGACGAGGCGACGTGCCTTCTTGGAGAACGTGGGGCGCGTCGTAGCATTGTCTACGGCCCACGGCAGGGCGACTTGAAGGCGGTAGATGCCGGGGACAACAAACTGCAGCACGTCGCTCGAGATATCCAGCGCCATGTCTTTCACCGATGAAAGAGCCGGCGTGTGGATTGTGAGCGTCATCTTTGCATTGTCCATGGTCGAGATCAGCTCGTAATGCGGTGTGGCTTCGGTCGTCCCACAAGGGGTTGTCTTGACTGCACTCTCTTCAATCGGGGGCACTGGTTCGAGCGTCTCTACTGCATTCTGGTACCGTGTCTGGTTCTGGTTTGCCTCAGAATCACTGGCGTCGTTTTGCTTGTCCTTGACGTCCTTGTTGACGTCAGCAGCTTCAATACGGTCCACCGGTGACGACCTTTTCTGTTGCAGAAGCTTGCAGCGGGCCGCTTGCTCCTTGGACAAGACCATGCCGCGAAAATAGTGCCGTCCGACCCGGTCAATGAGGTGGGTGTCGTCAACTTCGGCATCGAGGAGTGCTGCAAGGTGCTTGTCATCCCCGAGGGCGAGTGTTTGCTGCCGCGTCCGGTCACCGCCTTGGATCGCGTACACAAAGCTGTTGGCGCGACTCCACGCCGACTCGCGCTTGCCGTCTTCGTGCAAATGCGACGCCGCCGAGAACGGGTTGTCGCGCGGCAGATAGACCATGTTCGACCCGAGCACGCGCGTATGCACGGCAAACTCGCCGTTCATATCTACGAGGACATAGTATGGTAAGAAGCGTCCTGAGATGAGGTCAATGACAAGCACCAGCATAATCGTTCGCGCACGCAAAGATAGCGAGGAGGCCGGACGCGACGATGTCGTAGAGGTCGGGAAGCCAGCTCCAGAGCAAATCGTAGCGGCCCGACTCGACAAAGTTGCCAAAGCCCGTGTTGTACCCGATGACGACGGTCGTCGCGACGTCGACGTCGTGGCTTGCCAGGAAGCTGCCAGTTGTCCCACGATAGGCATGGGCAGTAACCCGGCTCCCGGCCGTACCACCATGAACGCTCAGTGAGACTTCGGGTCCGATGAACCAGACGTCAAAGGAGCGGTCTATACATGCCGATGTTCACACCCTGGCATTGCTGCCTCCGCCTATGCTACCTGGGTAAAAAGCCGAGATCTCCGCCCAATAGTTGGTGTGGGCCCAAATACGCTGCTCGGCCTTGACGGTCGCGCCAACAACGAGGATGGTGACAGTTCGCCCTGATGGCCAAGCTGCCTCGGCGTTGAGGAGCTTGGTCATGTACACCAACGTCATTGGGAACGAGAGCGCATCCAGAAACGACGGATCGCTCGTTGCCCACGGCAGCAAACTGGTCGCATGGCACTGCCCCAAATAGCCCTGCCAGCCGGTCGTCAATGGGGCCGTTGGCGCGGCGGCTCCATGGCGTCGTGGCAAGGCTGGAAATCGTTTGTGTTCGGTCCACCGAAACGAACCGCTGTACATACCTACACCAATGACGTGCATGTCACTGTGCCTCATAGAGGGGACAAATGTCGACTGCCCATACCGTCGCCGCGCTGATCGAGGGCGAGCTCGGGCTGCATGTTTCTCCAAATGCTCCGATGGGGATTTGTGGCCGCGACCTTTCAAGATCGGAACAAAGTGCAACTTGGATCTTGGCGTTTCATGGACGCTGGCCTTTCGCATCCGCCCTGTCGCGAAGCAGTGGATGCCATAGAAGGTGCATCCGCCCATCGCTGTCACCTCCGGCGGCATGTGTACGTAAGTCATTGGTAATAGCTCCATCTCGCTGCCAAAGGCGCCCAGGCCTCTGCAAGAGCCAAAGCAAGTCCGACGACGCCGGCGCCGTTACCCACCCATGTACCCGTAGCGCCAGCGACTTGGTGGCACTATGGCGCTGCCCATCTCCTAGCATATACACACCTCGGTCCGCTCGTCTTCGGCGTGTAATCTCGTTCCCTTGCGCTGGCCACGGCGGTCGACGCGCTCGAAGTTACGGGTGTCTTCGAGCCCACGTGGTTTTTCGCAACACCACGGCCGAATAATACTATACATATATTCTTTTCTTGCATACAAATGTCAAGCTGTCAGACGCGACATGGAATAAAAAGCCGCGTTTCTACACATGGCTTCGAACTTCGAGGGCCACTCATTTATACAGTGCGTAACTACTAAGTCTATACAAAGATTGACTGGAAATAAAATGCCGAGCAAATAAAATGTTGTGTGAAACCAGCTGGCAGCATACTGAGGCGAAGAGAAGGCTCGTGTGTAATCGCAGATTCAGTCGCCGGCAGCAGCAGAGTCACTTCGACTGCTACTCACCGAGCCGCTACGCCCACGCACGCGCTTGGTACCTGCCCGTCATCTCCCCATTGCTGGCACGCATGAATCGAACGCTCAGTCGGTCCAACTCGTCGCCGTCAGTCAACTACCTGCAGCGCAAATCCTCGGTGACGACGACGCCGACGGCCAAAGCCACCAGCGCCGGCCTCGCCAACTTCGCCAAGCTCACGTGCTCGATGAGCTACAAGAACCGAACGTCCATGTTCGTCGAAGGCTCGGGGCGCGACAGCGTGAGCCAAGTCGAGCTGCGCCCGACCGAGGACAAGTACATGCGCATGAGCACGGCTAGTACTTATTGCAGTAGCCGCGACAGCAACGCAAGCAGCCTCAGCACCATGGTGTCGACGCGCATGACATCCGAGAAGGTAGTCGCGCGCCCGTCCGTCGCGCTGCCCATCTCGACGATTGCTGAGAACCCGGACGCAACCGACGCTGAGATCAAGAAGATGCAGACCAAGCGCGCGCTTCGTCGCATGTGCCTCGAGATGAACCTCGCCGAGGCCGACGAAGACTCGGACGCCAAGGTCACGTCGGACGACGACGATGTGGACAGCGACGACGAGCTCGCCAAGAAGCTGCTCCAGCTCCAGCGCATTGACGACAGCGACGACGACGATGACGACGATATGATGCTCTCGGCGCCGGCGTACAAGAAGAAGACGAAGGAGTTCCAGCCCAGTGACACGGTCACCATTTCAAAAGCCGAGCTCCGCCAATTCCAGACGCGACTGAAGCAGCTGGAGGAGCTCTGCGCCGACCAAGCCGAGAAGCAGGCCGCGCTCGAGACGAACATTGAACGCGAGGTGCGCGCGCGGACGCGCCACCTGGAGGCGCAGGTGCAGGAGAAGATCGAGGAGCTCACGATGATGCGCGAGCTGGACATGGACAAGGAGATCGAGCGCCGGTTCACCGACTTTTCGCTTGCGACCGGACTCTCCAAGGAATCGGACCGCAAGACCAAATCCAAGTCGAAGAAATCCTTCTTCCACCGGCCGTCGACGCTTGCCGCGTCGGGCAACTCGGAGCTCGAGCAGTTCCGTGAGTTCCTCATGAACAACTCCAAGCGCATGAGCGAGCGGCTCCGCGAGACGGCACAGTTCAACGGCGACCTACCGGCCCACAACGCCGATGCGTACTACGAGGCGTCGCAGAATGAGCTCATCGAGATGCTCGAGAAGCTGCGCACGGTCGCGTATGACCAGGACGAGCAGCTCGAGCAGGCCAAGTACCTCATCAGCGTAGCGATTGCCAAGATTGAAGCGGCGGACGAAGTCGTCAACGAAGCCTTCGAAGAGCTCGGGAAGATGGACTCGCGCCTCGACCGCGCGAGCCAGGAAGTCCAGGAGCTGCGTCGGTCCACGATGAACCTCTCGATGCTCTCGTCGAGCTCGGCAGGGTCGCGGACGCCGTCGATACACTACCAACCACCGCCGCAGCCGCACTACGCAATGGCGTCCGGCGCGCCCCGGCGATAGACGTGGTATTTCTCTTTAACTTATAAAAGCAAGATTGTGAGTGCGCAGCTTGGTGTCTACAGGACCTTGTGTATAATACTAGGGACTCAGGACGCAGATGGGGCACTTGGACTGCGAGAGGAGCCACTGCGACAAACGAAAGTCATTGCCAACAAAGTCCACTGGGCCGTAGTACCTGGTCGATGCAGCACGAGTGAAACATGTGCAGGCACGGCAGCGCGCGCACCTCTTGGTCCTCGTGAAAGTCGTGGAGGCAGATCGAGCACTTGGTGTTGCCGCTCGGCGCTTTCGGCGTCGAGTACTGGAACGCTGGCATCTCGATGATGGCCGACGGCAGCATGCGCCCCGACTTGCCACTCTGTGTAAGAGCGATAAGAACTTGTTGGGAGAAAATGGAGTGCAATAAGACCTCGAGGTACTGCGACTCGAGCCGCCGGACGTTGCGGAGGAGTGAGAGCAGGCGCTACGACGGGAGTGAGGCACTTGTCTCCAAGCTCGCGGAGCTGTACCATGTTCTTCTTCTGCAGCGCGCCTGTGGTCGGCGACGCGGGCGCCGGCGGAAGTTGCCTGCAACGTCACGCATGAGCAAATAGCGACGACGCAATAGAAGAGAGTGTACGAAGCAGTCGCCGCGTCAAAGTCGAGAAGCTGCAAGGCCAAGCTCTCTGGCTCGTCCGTGTCACATGACGCGACCGAGATGAGCCCAGGCGCGAGGCGCGACGCCGCCGGCTGGACGTCCATGGCATTGGCATCCAGCTTCAAGGTTTCGTCCCAGTCCAGCCGGCTGCCAAGGGACGATGACGTCTGCCGGCGGCGGGTCATGGCCGCAGCGTCAAGGCGCGGCGCGTATTTCTTGAGAAAGTCGTCCTCCTTGTCTGCCGTACTGTCATCAACCTCTTCGGGCTCGCACTGGCGCATCTCTTCTTGGAGAATGCGCGCGCTCTCCGTGTCCTCGTTCCAGATCGTCGCGGCGCGTTTGTTCCAGCGCGACTGAGCAAACGCAGCATGAGCCACGCTTCTACCTTCAGGACATCGGCAACGTACATGGCCATTCTGCCCGTGCATGCACTGGTTCAAGTGTTCCGTGAGCCACTTCATCGGGCGCGACGGAGTTTCGATTCTGCAAGTGCAAAGTGGTGGTTGGATCGACCGCCGGAGGGTACTCGTATAAGGTAATTTCTGGCCATCGACGGTCATGTTCCAGGCATCGCCCTTCGCCGCACTCACCACGCTAGTTCAAACACAACTGACTCGTGCACACTATACACTTGTATCGACACTGCAGCGAGCGCAAGGCCAAGCTCTTCTGTACACATCCGGCGTTGTCTTATGGCGGCCACGATCCATTGCTCGCATTGCTCGTAATTACCTTAAATCCGACTTCATGCGGAGCGGATGATTCTTCACACTTCGATCGCGCGCTGATTGGACCAATTCTAAACTCTCGCCGCGGATTGGTGCATTGCAAATCTTTCGGCCGGCGCCAAGGCGCTGTCGGGACGCGTTGGCGCCAACGCGGCCGCCCGAGCGCCCCACGACCCGATGGCGCGCGAGCAGTAGCACGTCAGCAACAGTGTAGGCAACGCACGCGGCGTCCTTGCTGCAAGCTACTTCTCGAACTCGTTGCCCATCGGCGCCAATCCTGCTCATATGGCGAAGCCGATCAAGCTGTGCCGACTAGGTCACAGCCATCCGCGCCGCCGGACCCAAGCGGATGGTCGTTGCTCGTACCACGCGTGTGCGCATGCAAGGCCGCGACCAATGTGAGGCATCACTTATCGACGAGCGCTTTTTCATCCAACCAGGCGCATAGCACTCTTCCTACACATTGCGATGAACTCATGCACGCGTGGTCTCAGCACGTGACCTCTCACAAAGCTCTCACAGCTCCAAGAGGCGCGGCCGTGCCCCGTCGCCAGAGTGGGACGTTGAATCAAGTGCCCTCCCGTATCCGGCAAGATCGCGGCCGTATCCGGAGATTCACAAACCTCAAGTGGTCGACCGATGCAAGCGCCGGACGCCACGCGCAAGCCAATGGCCGTGCCCGAGATGAGCCACGAGTACATTCCGATCGACGATAACCGGCCGCTGAGCCTTCACGAGCCAGAGGTCCGCGGCCGCGTCCCGGCCAAGCTCGGCCAAATCGGCGTGCTCACGCTGCTCATGGGCATTGGGCTCTTCTTCGTCGGCGCCGTCAACCTCAGCGAGAGCACGCAAGCGCCGACAATCGACGCGCCGCTGCGTCTGGACATCGAGACGCCGCCACCGCTGGACGCCATGCTGACCGAGCCCATCTTCCCGTTGGACTCGTCGTTTCACCACTACACACTCTCGGCCGACGACGAGGGCGACGGGTACGTGTCCGCCGACGGCCGCGCCTTTCGAAGCGACCACACCAACCTCTTTGGCCGCGGCGTCACGGGCAAGATCGTGTCGGTCGACGGTAATGCATTCCTTATCCGCAGCAACGGCGAGTGCTGCCGCTTCATGGACCCTGGCGACGAGATCCTCCTCAAGCCGCAGAGCTTTGCCAACTACCTCTCGGTCGGCGCGGCCGAGTTTGACTCGGGGCCGGCGACACTCTGGTGCGTTCTCTTCGCTGCTCTCGCGGCCAACCCCACTGTGCGTAGGGCGGACCCGGAAGAAACAAGTTTGTTTTGGGTCGACGTCCACGGACTACCCCTGCGCTGGGACTACATTCCCAAGTCACCGCTCGGGAAGCGCATCACGGCGGGCAAGATGATCTCGATGGTCTACGCCAACTTTACCACTGGCACAGTCGCCGCGCCGCTCTTTGACGTGCCGGCCAGCTGCACGACCGCCCAGCGCTGCCGATTCGACTAACTAAGTAACGCATACAATGACTCGTGTCGACTATGGTAGCATCAACGAAAGCACTTGGCTGTGCAGCTTGAGACTCGCTCCGTGGCGCAGCGGACCCGCGTCCCCCGCCGAAAACACGTACCTACCATCGTAGCTATAAGAGAGATGTGCGCGATGCCATACTTACGGCAGCGCGCAGCAGAGCGTCCGGCCACTGGGCAGTGAGGCATACTCGAAGCCAAAGACCACTTGCTCCGTCTCGTCCATCTGCTCACTTGTCAACTTCAAGATCCACGTATCGCTCTCACCTTGATGGTCAAATGCAAGCTCAGAACGCGGGCCGAGACGACGTACACGCGACGCAGCTGCGCGTGTTCGACGGGCTTGGCACTCCCCACAGCACACTGAAAGCACTGCACGTACACGGCCATGTCGCAGCCAGGCCAGACCTACGTTTGTCATCGACGGTCGGCACGACAAGCAGCATGATACCGTGTCGTGCAGCGACGCCGCCGACGTAGTAAAGAAGAAGCGGTGGCCCATGGCGCACTCGTACTCCATGCCAGCATGCGCGACGAGCTGTTCGGTCGCCTCCTTCATCGACGGTTTAGTCGCCTTCTTGGAGCGGCGACCCGAAGCGTCTCGGTACCAAGCCGAGAGACAGCCGAACTTGGGCACAAAGCCGTCCATGGTCAAGGCGAAACCTTCGACCGGGTCGTACAGATGGCACTCGCCCATGTCCATCAACGTCGCGCCCTACACCATTCGGCGTTTCTTCTCCGAGTGACAAGCGTAGCGTACCGACGCTGCTTGCAACAGCGTGTGACTGCGGCAACACGCAAGTCGCCAGCGCGGATCCGCATTGCTCTACCATGTAGTACATCCATGACGCACGGTGGTGACGACGGCGCTTACGCTTGCGGAGAAGACGTCGGGCATTCGGTGCAGCGAGAGGCCGCATTGACACGCCACATGCAGATACACGCCACTCGTGTGCGCATGATCAGCTTCGTCGTCATCGTCGCGGAGCACGACGGTGCACGGCTGGTTCTACGCACGTTCAATGATCCTTCGGCGAACGTGGAGCAGCGTAGTACGGCGATGCTCACTGCGTCACAGAGCCGCCGGCCATTCGAGCGCCACTCGGCGTCGCACGCGTCTCGAATGTTCTTTGCAAATTCTTTTGCAAACGCATTGGTGCGGCCGACGCAGCGCGCAAATTCGGCGAGTGTTCTCTCGACGCGGGCGGCATGGACGCTGCGATTGCATGCGTCGGGCCGCTCGGCCACGTAGCGCTTCACGGCCGGTCCATACTCCTACGTCCACAGTGCAGACAAGGAAGCGAGAGCGAGGCTGCCAGTACCCGCGCACACAGGTCGTGGGCAAAGGTGCCCGTGATGTCCAGCGACTCGTAGAGCGACAGCGCGTCGCTGGAAGCGTCGTCGACCGCAGCGTCCACGTGCGGCGAAGTAAAGACCGCATTCTCGATGAAGATCCACTGGAGAAGCAACTGCACGTGCTGCAGCCACGCGCCGAGGGCCAAGACGCCGTCGTCGTAGCTGTCTACTGGGGCGCAATGAGACATGTGGGCACGCGGCGCGCGTTCGTACGCTCGTGCAAAAAGCTGTCGAGGGCCTTGGAAATGTACTGGATCGCGTGCGGGACTCCGATCGAGTCTTCGTCGTCAAGCGGCTGCAAGAGCTGCTTGGGCGGAAGGCTCGCATCTTGCGCGAGGTCGAGCACCGCCGCCATGCGATCGAGCAAGTTGCAATCGGTGGTCGCGACCTTGCGTGAGACAGCAACGACCGTGTGCGATGAATCAAGGACAAAGAGCCGCCGCTCCTTCCCGGCAGCTTGCCCCGGCACGTCCTTGATGCGAACGGAGCCGACGACGTGGTTGCGCAGTGGCTTGATCGTCGCGGTCACACGCGCCTCCATCGCCTTGCAGAACGTCATCATCGCAGACCGACCTTTGTTGGAGCGCACGGCAAGCTCGGGCGGCAGCGGAAAGACGTACGAGAGGATGGGCACGAGCCGCCCGGGCGCAAACGCCGACGTCGAGAGCGGTGCATGCGTCTTCTTGGCATGTGCTCGCAGAAGCTGGAGAAGCTGGTGCTTGGCTTGCGATAGCGTCCGGTACAAGCGCGTCTGGCTCGTGCTCACCCGTGCTTCGTCCTTGACCATGTACAACACGTGGCAGCTCGTGAAGAAGAGAAGGTGCAGCTTGGCACGATCAACGTCCACGTCGGCCCGTGGCTGGCCAAGCGGGTAGTGGTACACGCCGAGCATCACGGCGAGGTGGCGCTCGTGGTCGTAGTAGAGACGCACGTCGCTGCCATGCACTTTGGTCGTCTGTGCATCGTAGTCGCTCGTATCGGCAAAGACGTAGCGCCCGAGGAGCCGGTTGGCAAAGCGAGCCGTGGCGTCGGCGTCGGCGCCGAGCACGCCGACGACGACCGCTGGTCGACCTTCCTGCTGCAGCGCCGTGAGCAAGCTGGAGGACGCCGGCGGCGATGGATAGAGCGCGACCGCAGCGTTGCGCAGCAGCTCGACCGGCCCCGGCGGCAATGGCGGCGCCATGTTCGGATACGAATCCATTGTATCCGGACCGGATTCCGCCAAAGATTTGAAAATAAAATGTGTGGCCGGCAAATTGGGCATAATAAAATGATGCTTTCGGCGTATTTATTTGGGCAATGCCGTGCTTTTATGCTCGTTATACCTTGGGTTGTAAGGCACTGGTGAATAAAAAGCCCGCGGGTTTTGGTATATTATTATTCGAGTGGCGCGTGAAACTCCCTGTGCTTGGTTTGGAGAAAACTTTTTTTTGGCGAAATTTGCGGCAGGTCCGTCGACGACATGGGGGACACGAGCCGAGGTCGACGCGCTCCGAACGCGCGGCCCGCCCGCGGCAATGGCTATAGCAACCAGTCGGCCATCGCAGGCACGGGCATCAAGAGCGGTATGACCGTCGAGGTACGCGGACGCGGCGAACAAGGCGACCGCTCATGCATGGACCTAGGACCTCAAGCGATTGACGCAAAAACGCATGCAAGAAGCCACGGTGGGCATCGCGCCAGTGATTACCGCCGAGGTTATAACGCCCAAGGCCAAGCCTACGATCGCTGTGCCCGTGGTGCCGCCGCCATTTGTGCCGAAAACCGGCATGACGGTCCAGGTACCACGCCGCGACCTGCCACCAGGTCGCGCTGATTCGACCACCGCTAGGAGCTCAAGCAACTGACGACGCTGCGCCTCGCGCAGCAGAGCGTGGGCACGCCGACGCACCAAGCGCAAGCGGCTACGAACGAATACAAACCTCCGATGAACCAATATTACGCGCGCAACGTGACGGCGGGCAGCACGCCGACCTCGTCACCGGGTGGGACGCCGAAACGACAAACGAATCGCTCGTCGTTTACGTCCGACATTCCCACACCCAAGCAAGCCAGCAGGGCGGCGCCGCCGGCGGTGCAGCGAAATGGCCAGGCCAAGCGCATGCCCGATGACCGCTCCATGATGTATGCCAACCATGGCGGAAGTCCCAGCCAACAGCAGCAGCATCTCCAAGCAGCCTATTCATCGACGCCGCAATACGAAAAGGTACCAAGAACCTCATGTGGACCACATGCTCATCGTGTCGCAGCCGTATCCGTCCGCGAATACAATGGCGCACGACTACGCGGTACTCGTCTGCTTCCTCTCTTCCTACAAGATCTCATGATGATGCAGTCGGTCATGCGGCAGCAAATGCAGTTTGAGAACGAGTCGTTTCCGCCGCCGCCACCCGTCGATGACTCGGGCTCGTTCCTCTCGTCGTCGGCGATGCCGTCGTGGTCGCCGCCCCCCGCACGGGTCAAGACCATGGAGCCTGGTGGTCGCCCCGTACGTCATCCTACTCTTAGCGCGTGCGATCTCATGCAATCGTAGGTGTCGCTGTATGGTCAGTCGACGTTCTATGTCCAGCCCATGTCGACGTCGTCCGACGACGAGACACCGACGTTTCTCAGTCCGCCGCCGGGCCTCACGCGACGCCCGTCGATGACGGTGCCGTGGCAAGTCGCCGAGTCGGTGCTCCACACGCCGCAGCAGCCGTCGACGCGCAAACATATCGGTGACAAGGTCAAGGAGACCAACTTGAGCCAATTCTCGGCGCAAAAGCCGATGCAGAGCCCGCCACGTATGCCGTTGCACCGGTCGACGTCGTCGGCAGCGGCTGCGGCGGCCGCGGAGCTCAACATGACGGGCCTTGTGCGCCAAAAGAGCAACGACGGTCCGCCGTCGCTCGGGCGCCGCGGCTCATTTGGGAACGCGGCGCAGCTCTTCAAGTTTCGCCGACGCAGCAAGAGCCGCCTCGACGTGGCGCGGGACATTGCGCTCATGGAGCAAAACGAACACGAACGCATGCTCTCGATCGAGGAGAACAAGATTCGGTCCAACTCGGACGACCTCGGGTCCCTCGACGATGTGCAGCCCTACACGCCCGAGATGGGTACGCGTTCTCGATCGTTGGCGATCGTAGCGACAAGGTGTCTCTTGCTGTAGCCGACAATGACTTTTTGCCCATGTACAACCAGCGCTCGGTGCCGCGCCTCAACATCCCGCCGCCGCCGCCGCCGATGGACGACAGCAGCGACGATGACGAGGCGTACCCGACGTCGCCAAGCCAGCTCCCGATGATGAGCCCGAATGGCGCCAAGCTCCGCAAGGTCGCGCAGCTCGCGCGCAGCGGGACGCTCAGCAACGAAGACAAGACGCGCGCCAAGGACGAAATCATTCAAAACTCGCTCGTACGCCTCCCTCGACGCCTTTACGATCTTACGATCCGCGTAGGGTCTCGGCGCGCTGAGCATGCTCGATGACGAGTCGACGTCCCGTGGCATTGCGCGCGCCAAAGTGAGTCTGGAGGAGCGGCTCGCGCAGGCAGCGCAGCGCGTAGCCGACTGCGTCGCACGCGGCGACATGGTCGAGTTCAACAAGGCGATGACGGAGCTCGACATGCTGCGCCACGAAGCGAGTCAGTTGATGCAGCAATGAGACAATTTGTGTATGGAGTCCAGAGACGTAGTCGTATGATGAGATAAAAAAAGCGTCGTTTCAAAAATCTACATGTCCAAATACGTGGCAAGGCGCGCGAGCGTTGCTACATCGGCCTCGTACTGCTCGAAATCGTCGCCGTCCCACTTGATAACGGTCAAGATGTCGTCGACGACGTCGCCACGGAGCGCCGGATGCCGCAGTTGCGTGCAGGCAACGTCGCTGTGTCGAACAGCGCGAGGCCCAAAGCTCCGCATCCGCGCTATCGGGTTGGCGCAAAAGACTGCGATGCGGAGGCAGAGTTCGCAGCCGCAGTGGACGTTGGCATCGTCGATGGACCAGTCGAGCTGCGGCAGCACGCCTTTGATGAAAGCAATGGCCTGCAGAGGCGGCCACGCGACGGACGCGACCATCCGTAGCGCCTCTCGCTTCGTCGGGTACACTTGCTCCAGCATCTCGAACAGCGGCACGACGACGCGCCGGACGAACTCGAGGTTCTTGTTGCCGTGGTCCATCATCAAGCAATACCAATCGAGGAGGCTGATCGCAGGCCCCAGCGGCGCCTCGAGCGTCAAGAGTAGATGGAAAATGTCTTGGACGATCGTGGCGAGGTCGCGCAGCGGCAACGTGACGTGCTCGAGCGCCGAGACCCACACGCGAACGTCCAGCAGAAAGGACGGCACGTCGTGTCGTGGCCATGCCACGTTGGGATGCACGAGCAGCTGCGCTGCCACGTGTAGCGTGCTGCGGCGCTGCTCGGGCGTCGAAGGTTCGCGCATGCACGACAAGCGCGGCACTAGGATGTCAGCGACCGCCCGCGCGTCCAGCGCCAAGAGTGCCTGGACCGTCTCGGCGTCAAACGCCAAGAGCGGCGCGCAATGGAGCGAGGAGAGGACATGCGGCGTGTACGCGGATGCGATCGGGTGCGGCAGCATCGCGGCCGCAACGACGGTGACGGCGCCCAGAGGCGCAAAGCTCGCGCGCTGCCGCTGGACGACACGCGAGGTTTTTAGGTATAAGTACCGGTCGATCGTCTCGTGGACGGCTGCCGGCAAGCGGTTGCCAAACCAGACGTCGCCAGTGGCCGTGGCGTCGTGCACGAAGGCGTCGAGGCGCAGGAGCAGCGTCAAGAGGCGCTTGGCGCTCGATCGATCGAGACGCACGTCGTCAAGGCACACAATAAGGCACAGGAGCACGTCGCTGCAGCGCTTGGCGAGCTCGGCCACGCGCGGCTGCCTCAAGTCGACGATCGCACTGATCTCGGTGAGCCGAGCGATCACGTCGGGCCACGTCTTGGCGCTACTGCAGCGCTTCTGCAGTGCGTGCGCGAGGACCTCCCAGCCGTACTTTGCTGTCACTTGCCGCAGCCACGCGCTTGCAGGACCGTGCGTAGAATATGTCTGGATCAACGCGACGACGACGTACTTCATGTCCCGCGCGAGGACATAGCGGGCAAAGGCGCAGGTGGCGTCGCGTGGGATGAGCAAGCGGTCGTCTTTGCCGGGCATCGCCAGCGTGTCGACGAGCGCCATCGCGAGCGCGGTTGCCGAGCGGTACCCGAGCCACGATCCCTCGTAGAGGCTACGACAGGCCGCGCGAAAGCCAGCGATCCGCGCGCGGTGGGCTTTGGGCCAAAAGACGAGGAGCGTTTGGGCCTGTGTCTCGAACGCAGCGAGGATCGCATGGACCGAGATCGTCGCCAAGCCGGCTTGGACCTGCGCGGGGATGTGGCACGCGTCGTGGCAGATCGCGTCCAAAATATCGAAGGACGTTTCAGCTCCATTCAGCGGCGAAGCGCGGACGAGCGCAACGTCCATCGTGGCCACAAGCGCACGTACGATCGCTTCCTTCGCCCCGTCGCCCGGCGCCAGGAGACTGGTCGTGCTAAAGGCACCTGTCCACGGGAGCGCGTAGACGTCGTCACCTTGGCGAGGCAAGACGGCTTGGACGCGAAGAAGCTCCAGTGGATCCGGCAGTTGACGCCCAAAGACAGCGTACACAAACACGACGAGGTGCCCACCGGTCGATCGCTCCAGCGCGATCGTGTCAGCGACGTCAAGCTGGACCAGGGCTCGAGGGCCAGCGTTCCTCCACGTCGCTGGCGTTGTCGGGCGCGCCGCTCGCGACGGTGCTTCGATGGCGACGTAGGCAATGGCGCCGTCAACGGCCACCTTTGGCAGCCATCGCGTGTAGTCGGTGCCAGCAGCATCGACGACGACATGCGAAAGAACAAAGTCGCACGCTGCATCCAAGCCGAGCAGCGCGGCGGCCCCGCGCTTAGCGGTGAGCCACGCTAGTGTCCCGAGCCCATTACGCTCGACGCGAACGTACGACGCATCAATGTGGCACATCGCGACGTCGCCTGTCCCGTATGCGTCCATGAGGCTGCGAGCGAAGCTTCGAGTAAGTGGACATCGGACAGGGTGGTCGAAGTCGGCGACGACCAAGTCGACCGTGAAGACGTCGCTGTACGCGCCCAGCACCACTGGCACCGACCGCGCGCCGAGGAGCGCAAAGGCTTGCAGGAAAAGCCGGTGGTCGCTCATGAGGTCGGCGGTAGAAGTCAAATCGACGAGTGCAAATTCCGGAAAAGGCCGCGCTGGGAAAAGCATCTTGACGACCACACGTCGCTCAAGCTTGTGCTTGGACAGCGTGTGGAGAGACCTCGACCGCGTAGATCGTGAGCTTCGAACCTCTACAAGATGGCGCGATCGAGCCTGTGCTAATGCTTGCCGCCGGTTCAATTCCGCCGACAGCTCGTCATCTTGTACAGTACGTTGTTGCGAGCGCCGTCATTTCCTTGCCTGCGGTCGCGTAGTCGAGCCGGTCGTAGCCGACAACAATGCTTGTGCGCTGGAGCTCCTCCCGCTTGAGGGCTTGTAGCTCCTTGGACGTTGGCACAGGCGTCGGCATGCTATCGAGCTTTTCAAAATGGCTTTTCATCCCGGGCAGTCTATTTGTAGCCAACACCCCTACCCACCCCGAACCCTACTACACCCGCATCCACGTAGTATATAATCAACAACGATGTAGATTAGACGACGGCCGGCGCATCGCCATGGCCGTGACGCCAATGCGTCACGAGGCTGCTAAAGAGGCCGGAGGGGGTCGCGAGGAGGTTCGCGGGCGTGTCAAACTCGGCCACGCCCCCGTTGTCGAGGACGAGGATCCGGTCGGCGTCGAGGATCGTGTTGATGCGGTGGGCGATCGTGATGCACGTGCAAGTGCCAAACTCGTTGCGGAGCGTCTCTTGTAGCGCGGCGTCGGTGGCCGCGTCGATGGACGCCGTCGCTTCGTCCATGAGCAGCACGGCCGCTTTTTGGAGCAACGCGCGCGCAATGCACAGCAACTGGCGCTCGCCGACGCTAAAGTTGACGCCGCGCTCGTCGACGATCGCGTCGAGCCGCGTCACCTACAGATACCATCGTCGATTCCTAGAGGCTGAATCGACATGCTACCTTGGTGTCGAGGTGCGCGCGTTTGAGCGACGTCCAGAGCGCATCGTCGTCGAACCGGTCGAACGGATCCAAGTTGGAGCGCACCTACGTGCAGTAGCTCACCCGTCATACCCCAAGAGACCATCGACGTACGGTGCCGGAGAAGAGGACGGGGTCTTGCGGAATGATCGCGATGCGGTCGCGGACGTCGTGGAGCCCGAGCGTGCGCAAGTCGACGCCGTCAATCTCGATGTGACCGGCTTCGACTTCGACGAGCCGGAGCAGCGCGACCACGAGGCTCGACTTGCCGGCGCCCGTGCGTCCGACGACGCCGACCTTTTCCCGCGCACGAATCGAAAACGAGACGCCGCGGAGCACGAGCGGGAGGCCCGGACGGTACCGCAGGTGCACCTACACCTTCCATCAATAGATAGTCGCAGAGACAAAGACGAGTACGTTGGTGAACGTGACAGCGCCCGCGTGCGGCCACGCGGTGGGAAGGACGCTATCGGACGTCACGCGCAAGTCGGCTTCGGGCGGCAGCTGCGTGTACGCGACGAGGCGCTCGATCGACACCATGTCGGTCTCGAGCTCGCTCAATGTGGTCACCGAGAGGTTGAGGTTGCGCGTGATCTGGAACGCATACGAGAGCGCGACGCCGACGAGCGCCGCAAACTCGGTCGAACCCGACGGCTTGGCAACGACCGCGCTCAAGGCCGCAAAGGTGGCCACGAGCGTGCCCACGAGCTCGAGACGCAGCCCGAGCCAGCACGCCACCGCAAAGTTGAGCAGCGCCGCGCGCTGGTTGGCGTCGAGCGCCGTAAAGAGGCGGCGTCGGAACGCGTCTTGGACGCTCGAGGCCGATATCGTCGAGAGACCGTCGAGGGTTTCGGTGAGGAGCGCGAGGATCGGCGACCGCGACGTCGACTCGAGGCGCTGGAGCTCCCGAGAGGTCGCAATGTAGTACTGCTGCGCGCGGTAGTAGAGCAACCCGATTGGTGCCAAGCACAAGCCAAAGAGCGGCGTGACGTACGCGATCGTCGCGAGCGTCGAGAGGACCGTGAGCGACGTGGCGACGAGGCTGCCCCACGCCGAGGGCAGGTCGTCGTCGGCCGTGTCGACGTCTTTCGAGAGTCGGTTGACGATGCGCCCGAGCGGCGTTGTGTCAAAGAAGGCGAGGGGCGCCCGCAAAAGCGCTTGCAGGAGCTGACCAAAGAGGCGGCGCGACCCGCGGAGACCGAGGAGCGAGATCGCGAGCGACCGACAGAAGAGACAGCCCACGAACGCGAGGTTGAGACCAACAAAGACGCTCAGGTAGACGCCGCCGTCCTCGTTACCTGCTGCGTGCTGCGACCAGACTGCGAGCCAGAGCGTCGAGCCGAGCGTCATGGCTTGGGCGACGACAAAGATACCGACGACGAGTGCACCGAGCCCGACGCCGCCGCACGCGCGCAGCCAGACGCGGTAAATGTCGCGGTGCACGTGGCCCACGGCGCGGTCCTCTTTCGTGATGAGCGACGACGACGCCGTTGTTGGTGGCAAAGCCGGAAGCGTGTAGGTAGTCGCCTCTTGCACATTCGATGCTGCATCGTGACGGCTGCTACCGTCGCTGTTCGGATCGTCCTCATCGTCGGTGGAGGGTGGCGTGTCGACGGGGCCCGCGCCGAGCTGAAACTGCGCGAGCATGGAGGCCAGACGTCCCTCCGACTGGAGGGCGAGGTCGGCGAACGACCCGGCTTGCACGACCGCACCCGCCTCGAGCACGAGAAGGTGGTCGCAGTGCGCGAGGACGCTGAGCTGGTTGGTCACGAGCAACACGATCTTGGTCGCGAGCCGGTCGCGCACGCAGCGCTGAAAGATGTCGGCGCCCACGTGGCTGTCGACGGCCGCGAGAACGTCGTCGAGCAAAACAAGGTCCGCGTCACTGTACATGGCGCGCGCCAGTGCTACGCGCGTGCGCTGGCCGCCGCTGAGCGTGATGCCCTTCTCGCCAATCTCGGTCAGGTCGCCGTGCGGCAAGACGCGCAAGTCGGGCTCCAAGCAGCTCGCGTAAACGGCGTCGGCGTATCTCGCAGCGTCAAACGCCAGGCCAAAGCAAATGTTGGCGCGGACGCTCGCGTTCTGGATGAACGGCTGCTGGCTCACGTACGCGACGGCGCCCAAGCGGTGCACGTGGCCGTCGATGCAGTCGACGTCGCCCAAGAGGCCGTGCAGCAGCGTCGACTTGCCGCTGCCCACGGGTCCGATCACTGCAACCAGCGACGGCGACGTCACGTGCAGGGACACGCCACGTAGCCGGTCTCCAAAGTTGGCTGCATCCATGTCGACGCCAGGCGAGCGCAAGGCGCCAGGCCCGACCGGCGTCCGCTCGGGCGCGGATAAAAACGTCTCGAGCCGCGTCGCACTCGTGTACGCCTCAACGACGGCGTGGAGCACTTGCGGCAGCTTGAAGAGCGGGAACCGGAGGACGTTGAAGAGCGCGACGGACGTCAGCGCCGTGCTCACGTCCAGCTCGTTGCCCAAGAGCACGTACGCGCCCAAAGACGCGGCGGCGACCAGCGACGGCACGCCCGTGTAGAGCGACGTCGCAGCCGCTTGGATCGCAATGTAGATGCGGAGGATGCCGAGCTCGGCGTCGCGGAGCGAGAGGATGCGGTCCGCAAAGCTGAGCTCCCACGCCTGGAGCTTGAGCACCTTGATGCCGGCAAGCACTTCGTAGCAGAGCTTGCCGCGCGTGTCCTTGACGGCGAGCAGCGACGACTGGAGACGCCGCATGATCTTGGAGAGGAGCGTCGTGATTGGAATGACGAGGAGGATGACGCCAAGACCCGCAAGGAACGCAACACCGAGCTCGTTGTACAGCAGGGTGCAGGCAATGACGAGGAGGTACGGGACGACCCAGATCGTGTGGAGGTCCAGTGTGAGTCGCTGGAGCCGAGTGGCGTCGATCGACATCAAGTTTGCGATCTGGCCCGTCGACGTCTCTTGGAGTGCTTTGGTCGAGAGCTTGAGCGACTTGGCGTAAATGGCCGTGACGACCGCGCTGCGGATCTGGAGCCCGGTTTCCTTGCAGTAGTACAAATACTGGCGAAAGCAGAACGACTGGATGAGGCCCGAGACCAAGATGAGCGCAACGAGCTCCCAGCCATTCGCCGTGGGCGCGTCGTCGTCGCGGAGGAAGGCGATCATGCGCTTGATGACAAAGGGCGCGACGAACTGCAGCGTGTCGCGCACCAAGCGGAGGAGACCGGCCCAGAGGAACTTGGTGCCGAACGCTCGGAAGAGCGCGAGCAAAATGCTAGGGCGTGGACGCTGCCGCTGCGTCGCCCACTGCTGCTCAAAGGCGACGGCGACGGCGGTCGCACGGTTGCAGCGATCGAGTCCGTAGAGATCGTCGGCTTGGAGCGGCCGCGAGCTCCCGAGCTCCATGATCGGGTTGAGCCACGTAAAGAAGACGGCTGCGCGCCACCCATCGCTGTCCTCGGGGCACGTCTCGGCGAGACTCTTGTGCTCGAGCAGCGGTGTTGACTCTCGTCCCATGCTCGCTCGACTTTGGAATGCAACCTCGGAAGATTGCCGATCTCCGCGATCGACCAATGACATGCAACTACTACTGTCCAAGCTCAACGATCCAAGCCAAGAAGGTTGGCCACCAGCGCGCTGCCCAAGATCGCGTTCAGGCAAGCGACATAGTGAAGCTGGCGCGGGTCTCGTTGCACGGAGAATGCCAAACAACGTTGGAAGAAGAAGATATCGCCTCCACGTGGCAGCACCAGAAGCCAGGGATAGTAACTTGGAATTTCGACAACGTTGTACGATGTCATCCCATGCACGGTCGTTTGAACCTACTGGAGAGATTCTGTCGCTTCGATCAGGCGTCGCACCATGATCGACGTGGCGCCTTGTCCTTGGCGGCTTGCACGGCGACAGTGCTCTGACGTAGCAGCGTCCAAGCAGCCGTCGACGAGGACGCTGCAAGCGTGCCACTCTGGCCAACGACGAGCGACGACATCGAAGCAGCGCTCTGTTTACTGGGCCAAGGAACTCTCATCATACATGTATGTATATGGCGAAAGAGCGTGTTTCGACTGGCTGAGTGATCAATCGAAGAGTACCTTGTACGACTGCTACGGCAGCCCTTTCTATGTCTCGCGCGCAGGAGGTTATAGCAACAACTACGTCCGTCTCATCCTGAGCTTTGGATCAGGTGCAATAGAACGCACAGTCATAACCACGCAGCAGCACCCACGACGACGGCCGACCCGTCGCTTGAGTCATCACCCAGTATGAACTGCAGCCATGGGATCCCACCCACGGTGATAGGGCTCCAAGCGCAGGCTGGCGCAGCTTGAGCACGGCGTCTTTCTGCTGCTGAGAAGAGCGCCAAAGTGTTGCTCTCTCGAGACCAAGTGTACGTGTGCAGACGTGACGTGGTGCGCAGCCTCGAAAGAAGCGGAAGAATCAACGGAACTGTTGGACGACGCGAGGCTTCGTCGACAGGGAGGCGGCAGCGAAGACGCGGGTGTATGCAGCATCGGCACACGCACGCCACGACAAGGAGAGTGGCACGATGGACGGCGATGGACCACCCGACAGCCGCATGACGCGTCTTTTTCGCTCCTCCCCAAGATGCACGTGGTCGAATCAAGTCCATATTAGGTAGGAGTCGCCACCCATTAACTGGATGCAAGATCATACCCGCGAGTAGCGGCGCTCGTTGACAGCGCTTTGCAGGCTGCAGCGTCCACGTCGCCGGCGTTGTTCTGTCGCGCCAAGTGCATTGTAGATGGTTTGCATCCGTCCATCACACCAGGTGGCGCCTACTCGGACAGATGCTGGGGTGTATGAGGCAGGCCATCTGATATCGACGTGCATGGGAAGGGGCGCTTTGTTGCATTGCGAGCATACAGTACGCTGCTACTCTTATACAGTGAACAGCAACGATGAGGAGGAGGTTGATCGTCGCCTGTCGGCGCCCCTCCTGCTGCTCGTGTCTCTGTCCAGCTACTGGCATGCTCATCGACCGGAGGCCCAAAGCGAACGATACGTCGAGCGGTCGTGTCGTCAAGGCCGTCGTGTCGGTAGTGTATGGAGGGTATGTTGATGGCTCGGTCGTCGCACTCGTCGGCGGCGGCGTTGGTGTCTCTTGCAATCGGACGGACAGACACCGTCGTTACTCGCTTCGGGATGCGGCCTGTGGTGGACGATGCGCCACCCGCTCGGCAATGCTCCCACTCTCTCGCGGACCGGCTGCGCGACCTGTTGGACGAAGTTGTGTAGCGGGTACGACGACGTCCTCCATTTCGCAATTGGCCATGACCTCGACCAAGCAGCCCACGCGCCAGACGATCAAGCGCCGCAACGACCGCCGCCTCGCAGACGACAAGTTTGGCTTCCAGCGCTGCCGCTACAAGACAGGCACGTGCACGAACGAGCGGGCTCGCAAGCCCAACGACATGTACCACTCGCTCTGCGAGAAGCACCGCCTCCTCCACAACTTTAACCAGCGCAACTTTGACCGCAAGAAGCGCGCAATCCGCAAGTTGCTCGAGGAAGAGGAGACGCCGTCGAGCCCGTCGTCGTCCTCGACGTCCACGTCGACCGACGACGACGACCTCGAGGTCGCGATCAAGCTCGAGCCGCTCATGTTTCCACAGAGCCACGCCGTGGCGCCCCGCTGGACGGACGAGGACTTGTACATCCTCACGGCCTTCCTCAACTAGGACCATCACGGCCTTCGTACTGTAGTTTACCTATTTAATGCATCGCTTCCTTTCATAAAGCATGTCATGTCATCAACCGTGTTGCAGAGCCGCGTCGTCTACGTCGGTAGCCAAAGCTACTGTATGTGGCGACAGACGACGGTGCCATCTAATCGGGCGCTGGAAGGGCCAAGCTGCTCGTTGTCCCATCGTGCTGGTGCGACCCAAGGCCCGTCCGGCAGTGCGCGTAAACAAGAGGAAGCAGTAGGACGTCGTGCAAGGGGCATAGTTTATTCATGGAGCGTAGCTTTGAGAAGGCAGCGGGCGAGAAGGACGCTGGGCAAAAGCGTGGCTGGGGAGCGCTGGCGCGCCTACTCGTTGATGTACGTGGGGTAGATGAGCACGTGCCATTGGTGCATCCAGCAGCAGGCCCTAACACAGTCGCCATGAGGCCTCGCCGAGACCAGCGGCATGCACGCACCAGAACATCCATAGGCAGACGCCCGTCATGCCCGAGAAGAGGACAAAGATGCTACAGAGAAGGCTCATGAGCGCGGAGGCCATGGCGATGCACGTACGAAGCGTTCTCCTTGTCGACCTTGCCCGAGACGCGGGCGAAGATGCCGATGGCCATCGCGATGAGCGTGAGGACGAGGTACGTGATGCTTCCGTTCACGAAGGGCTCGGGGAGGCCCGACGACGTGGCGGCGACGATCGGCGATGGCATGATGGGACTCGACGGAACGCTGACTGGGCAACTCGAAACCAATCTGCGCCTGCCCCTCCTTTATACACCCAACGGTCCTTCTATCCAGGTGTTGTGTCTTTGACTCTCCATTAAAAGCCAACATTTTGGCGAAGTCGATCGTTAAACCGAGGGAAAATAATTTAAAGGAACCGACTTGAACCCCACGGGCAATCTATTTCCGCTTGCGTATCCGGACATTCGGACATCCGGAAATCGAGGACCAAGCACGCACCCAACAACAACACCAGCTCCTACAAGGCGCCGCTGTGCACCTCCATCTTCCTAGCCTGGCCCGCCACAGCGTACATGTACGGCTTGTTACGAGATTACTATTCAAATAGAATACTCAAGGTCCCTGCCAGCTTGCTTGGACCAAAACGTTGGGTGTTTTTAGCCCTCTGCCTCGAAGAAACCGTTTGTTCGAATTCCGATCCCAGCGCTTGCAGCTTCAACAAGAGTTTTCGCAGACTTCAACGCAGTCGATGGCAACGCGAGCGCTCGAGACGATTGCGCGCTGGGGTGACGCCAGCGAGGGCCCCACGATGGCCGTCAGCGACGCCCCGTTTGAGTGCAACCCGGCGCTCAATGCCAAGGTCGCGCTCTTGCGCCACGAGCTCTGGACGCTCGACGTTGACGCGATTGTCAACCCGACCAACGAGTCGCTCACGGACGCGTCCGGCATCTGCGGCAGCATCCTTGATGCAGCCGGCGACCAGATCTATGTCGAGTGCAATGCCAGCGATCCGTGCCGGACCGGCGACGCAGTCATGACGCGCGGGTGTCAATTGCCGGCCAAGTAGGCGTGCGCATTCTCGCTCGCTGCCCATACCTTTTGGATAGGAAGATCATCCACACGGTGGGCCCGCGCTACAACGCCAAGTACAAGGTTGCGGCCGAGAACGCACTGCACGGCTGCTACCGCAATGCGCTGCGCGTCGCCAAGGAGGAGCGCGTGCGCTCAATCGCGTTCCCGCCCATCTACTCCAAGAAGAAGATGTACCCGCGCGACGACGCGACGCACGTTGCGCTGCGGACAGTGCGCCGCTTCTTGGAGCACTACGCCGACGACTTTGATTTGATTGTCTTTTGCGTCGACGACACGCATGATATGCTACTGTATGCAACGCTGCTCCCGCTCTACTTTCCTCGGTCCATCGACGAGCTCGAGGCGTCGCGCGCGCAGTTTGCTGCCCACCGCGAGTGGACGCTCGGCGACGCATTTGGCGAGCCGATCATTGAGGAGCGCAAGATCCGCATTGCGCCGACCGTCTGCCCTGACAACCAGCTCGAGACGAACCAGTCCCCCGGTACGAATGTCGCTGCAACGTACGCCGATCTCTTTCTCTAGTTGCGTTTACGCTCCTCGCCGACTCGTATGTGACCAAGGAGTTTTGCGCCATGACCGACAATCCGGACGACAACCGCATGGAACTGGTCCGGAGCATCCGCGCCAAGACGAGTGCGGCCTCGGAGAAGCAGCGCCTGTCGTATCAAACGGCCGTCGAGCAGGCGAGACATGAGGTCTCGATATGTCTTTATCAACGTCAAGGCGACGCATGAGATGGTAGGATTTCAGCGACATGGCCGAGCTCCAGCTCATCTACAAGGCGGGCGTCGACCACGCGGGTGTCCCCGTCGTGCTTGTCGTCGGGCGAAACTTGCCCGCCCGCCACATTGACCTCGACCGCGTCCTTTTGTACGTGGTCCACGTCATGGACGGCCTCACCGACCGCGTTTACAACGTACGAACGTGCGGATGTACTTTGAAACTCATTGCTGCAGGTGGTGTACCTCCATGGCGGCGTCGACGAAGACAACCAGCCCAACACGTCGTGGCTCAAGACGCTCTTCAAGACCTTTTCGTCCAAGTGCATTCCGCTGCGAGTGCTCTCTTCTGACTGACGGCTCGGTAGGTACCGCGACAACCTCAAGACGTTCTACGTTGTCGAGCCCACCTTGTGGCTCAAGCTCGTCCTGTGGGTCGGCAAATCCTTCTCGAGTCGCACGTTTGGCGCCAAAGTCGCGTTCCTCGATGCGCCGACCGACTTGCACCGCGTCGCACCGTCGCTCAAGCTGCCAGCCGGCTCGGCCACGTAGGTCGCTCGTTCACTGGAGCACTCGATTTACAGTCTCATATGGTAGATGCAACCAGCACGTAGTAGCGAGCAACCAAGACGACCACGAAGCGTAGTGCATGTATTCGCTAAGCGACTTAGTGGTTGATGCGCTTGGAGACGTTCTCGACGAGCGAGATCGAGTGGTTGTCCGAGCCCGCAATGAGCTACAAAGCTCGTGAGACTGCATCAGCAATACTGGCGCTTGGCGTACCGTGTCCGAGTCGCCGTCGACGTCGAGCGTGTTCCAGGCAGCGCAGCCACGGATGAGCGGCTCGACGACGAGCCCGTCGACGCGCGCGTGGGTCTGGTACTCGATCTACGCAAATTGGAAACTGAGCACGCGGCACGTACGGTGCCAAGCACCTTGTCGGTCGGCTTTTTCGAAGCGTGAAAGTCCCACACGTTGACCGTGTTGTCGTCGCTCGCCGTGTAGATGAAGCGCGGCGCCGACGGGTGGCACTGGATGCTGCGGACTAGGCAATGGCGTCAACAAGAGGGGTCGGATCGAGGCGTACTAGGCTTTTTGTGCTTGCGCTCGGAGCGCACAGCCCCGTTGGCGAGCATGCGTCGGTCCCAAATGCTCAGCCAGCCGTCGTGGCTGCCCGTCAGGAGCAGTTCGGGGCGCGTCGGGTGCGTGGCCAGACTCGTAAAAGCGCCATTGCCACTACACGCACGTCGTTTCCAGACACTGCACACTAGCCACCGTACTCGGCACAGGTCGCGATCGGAAAGTTGGCGTTCGTCTTGAGATCCCACAACTGCAACTGACCGCTGGGGTTGGAGCTACGTAGGCTTGAGCGCCAAGGAGAAATCGGAGTGTCGTACCCTGCCATGGCGATGTACGTGTCGACGCCGAGCATCTTGACGTCGTGAATGGCCCAGCCGTCGACATCTACGCGATATGTGAGCCGCCAAGTTGACTTACGACCGACGCACCAATGACACGGATATCGTCGAGTCGGTTCAAGTTGGCCCACGCTGCTTGACCGCACTCGGACGACGCCACGATCGAGGCCGTTGTCGTGTCCACGTCTAAGCTCGTGATGCTGCCTGCCGTGAGGTTTTCCCATTGCGGAATTGCCTACGACCACGTAAGATCTCGAAAAGCCAACGAAATGTGAGCGTACGACGTGCTTGAGTGCAAGCGACGGGTCCGCCTTCACGATGTTTGTGCAGTAGATGCTGCCGTTGGAGCTGCCGCTAATGACAAAGTCCGAGTTGTTCAAGGACAAGAAGCCTAGCGACGTGACGTCGCCCTCGTGCTTCAAGGAGCAGAGCTCGACGATCTCGGTCTTGGACGACGCGCTACACCAGCCAGGCATGATCTCTCAGAGGTTGCAGGTCGGCCATGCGTACTGAAACTCATCGGCAAGGTCCATTTGGTCGGAGGTGGGCATTTGCGGAAAGAGCACCGTGAGCGCATTCTCCTAGCCGTCAAGGTCATGGCCGGCGATAGCAGCGGCGTGACGCCTACCTGCGAGTCGTAGCTGCCGGCGACGACCAGCGGCGACGCGTAGTCGTCTCCTTCGAGGCAGGCGGCGCCTTTCGCCCCGTGGAGGAACTTGACCGCGCGGACCTTGCGCCCGACGTAGCTCATGTGGACCGTCATCTTTGTATTGCTCCTGTTCATTCAAGAAGCGTGCATTAAATACAGGCCTCGCACTTGAAGCTTGTATATAATTTAATACTTCCGGTGAAATCGATATGCCCAGCGATTGGCAGTATTTTAGCGTATTACATCCAATTGGAATGCAGGATTCGATTTTCCCACCTTGCGATCTTCAGGCAAGCCCGCGCAGGAACAATCACAGAAGCTTTGCCAAGGGCCGAGTGGTGCGGCCTCGTCCGAAGGCGGGTGGGACGAAGGACCATCATTAACTCGCTTCAATGACCACCCACAACGAATGCAGGTCGTTTCAAAGTTACCACCATTGGTTTGGCGCCTTCGGTGCATTGCGCTGCAGGTTTGGCGACATCGAATCGGATGACCGAGTCGTCACCGCTCCTACCGCCCTCACGCCCACTGGGCCGCGCTAGAACCTGGCGCTCGTACTTCTTCTTTACGTGGGTGACTCCACTCTTGGAGCTTGGACGCACTCGGCCTCTGGACGCGGACGATCTCTACGAACTCAAGCCTGAGTACCGCGCCATCAACGTCGCCTCGCGATTTGAAGAGTGCTGGCAGCAAGAGCTGGCGCGGCCGTCGCCGTCCCTCGTGCGCGCGCTCTTCCGGGCGTTCGGCGCTCGCTTCCTCTTCGCGGGGCTTTTGCGGTTTCTCCGCACGTCCCTTGAGTTTGTGTCGCCGTTCGTCATCAAGCGCATGATCGCCTTCCTTCGCGACGATGACGCGCCAATGTCATCGGGCTACGTGCTTGTTGCCATCGTCTTTGCCTCGGAGCTCGCACAGTCTTTCTCGTTCCGGCACCTCGCCTTCATCTTGTGCGAGACAGGCCTCCAAGTCACGAGTGCTATTGCAACCGCCGTGTACGCCAAGTCGCTCAAGCTCTCGACCAAAGCACTCCAAGAGACGTCGACGGGCCAGATCGCAAACTTTGTCGCTGTCGACGCGCCACGACTCCAGAGGGCGCTCTTCAATCTCCACACGATCTGGGTCGTCCCGTACCTCCTCGTCATTGCCTGCACCCTGCTGTACAACGAGCTCGGTGTTGCGTTCCTTGCGGGTCTTGGCGTCATCCTCCTCGTCATTCCAATCACGACGCTCCTCTCCAAGATCATGCGGCGTCTCCAGTCGTCGCTGCTCGCCGTCAAGGACACGCGCGGCAAGCTCTGCTACGAAGTGCTCGCCGGCATCAAGGTGCTCAAGCTCCAGGCGTGGGAGCTCAGCTTTGCGGACCGCATCCTCTCGCTCCGCGACGCCGAGCTCGGCATCCTCCGCATCTACGTTGCGATCCAAGCGGCTGCGACGTCGCTCTACACGGGCGTGCCGTCGCTGGTCGCCGCCGCGTCTTTGGGCGCGTACGTGCTCTTGGGCAACGAGCTGGACGTGAGCACGGCGCTGACGTCCGTCGCGCTCTTCAACGTCCTCCGGTTCCCGCTCTTCAAGCTGCCGCAAGTGCTCCACGCCGTCGTTGAGGCGTACACGAGTGCGACGCGGCTCGAGACGTTTTTATCCGCGCCCGAGCGGACGCCGGTCGGGCCTGGCGCCTTGCGCTCGCCTGGCGTCGACATGGATGCAGCCAACTTTGGAGATCGGCTGCGTGGCGTGTCCCTGCACGTGACGTCGCCGTCGCTGGTTGCAGTGATCGGACCCGTGGGCAGCGGCAAGTCGACGCTGCTGCACGGCCTCTTGGGCGACGTCGACTGCATCGACGGCCACGTGCACCGCTTGGGCGCCGTCGCGTACGTGAGCCAGCAGCCGTTCATCCAGAACGCGAGCGTCCGCGCCAACATTTGCTTTGGCCTGGCGTTTGACGCTGCGAGATACGCCGACGCCGTTTACGCGAGCTGCTTGGAGCCCGACTTGCACGTCTTGCCGCACGGCGACCTGACCGAGATTGGCGAGAAGGGCATCACGCTCAGCGGCGGCCAGCGCACGCGCGTAGCACTGGCGCGCGCCATGTACAGTGACGCGGACCTTCTTTTGCTCGACGACGTTCTCGCGGCCGTCGACAGCCACGTGGGCGCCGACATCTTTCAGCGCTGCGTGCGCGACCGGCTCGCGACCAAGATCGTGTTGCTCGTGACCAACCAGCTCAGCGTCCTCGCGCACTGCGACCACCTTCTCGTGCTCGAGGCGGGTGCGGTCGTGCAAGCCGGGTCGTTCGCCGACCTCGCCCTCCAGTCGGAGGGACGTCTGGCCTCCATGCTCGCGCAGTTTCAGCTCGGCGCGGGCCCCGTCGACACGCCACCCTCCACCGACGATGAGGACGATCCGAACAGCGACGGTAGCAGCCGTCACGACGCAGCATCGAACGTGCAAGAGGCGACTACCTACACGCTTCCGGCTTTGCCACCAACAACGGCGTCGTCGTCGCTCATCACGAAAGAGGACCGCGCCGTGGGCCACGTGCACCGCGACATTTACCGCGTCTGGCTGCGCGCGTGCGGCGGCGTCGGGCTCGGTGCACTCGTCGTCGGTATCTTTGTCGTCGCCCAAGCCATGACGCTCGGCTCGACGCTCTGGCTCGCAGTCTGGTCGCAGCACGCAGCAGGTAACGAGGACGGCGGCGTCTACCTGAGCGTCTTTGTTGGTCTCAACCTCGCGTTCGTGGGCTGTCTCTTCTGTCGGTCGCTCGCGATCTCGCTCCTCGGTCTCCGCGGGTCGCGCCGCCTCTTTGGTCAGCTCCTGCAAGCGCTTTTGCGGGCGCCCCTCGCCTTCTTTGACACAACGCCGCTCGGACGCATCGTCAACCGACTCTCGAAAGACGTCGACACGGCCGACGACGACCTGCCCTCGGCGTGGGGCAGCCTCGTCGCCACGTCGCTCACCGTCCTCTCAACGCTCGCGACGATCGCGTACGTCACGCCGCTCTTTGGCTTGTGCTTGGCGCCAATCGGGTTGCTCTACTACCGCGCGCAGCAGTACTACATTGCGACCTCTCGGGAGCTCCAGCGCCTCGAGTCGACGTCGCGGTCGCCGATCCTCGCGCTCCTCACCGAAACCCTCGACGGTCTCTCGACGATATCGGCCTCGGGCGTCCAAGACGCGTTCCGACGCCGCCTCTTTACGGCGCTCGACGCCAACCAGCGCGCGGCGCTGCTCAACTTTGCGGTGGCGTGCTGGCTCGGGCTGCGTCTCGAGCTCGTGGGCACGCTCGTGGCCACCTTTGCGGCCTTGAGCGCGGTCGTTGCCAAGCCGTCGGGTTCGACCGAGTTTGCGGCGCTCGTCGGCGTCGCGCTCTCGTATGCGTTCCAGATCACGCGCAACCTCAACCTCTCGGTGACCACATTGAGCGAGCTCGAGACCGACATGGTGTCGATCGAGCGCCTCGTCGCGTACACGCAGCTGCCGCCCGAAGCCGACTTGCGCGTGACGTCCGATAGCGTCCTTCCCACCGCGTGGCCGCACGCGGGCGCTGTCACGTTCACCAACGTATCCTTGTCTCTGCGGCTATCTATTGATGGGAGGTGTAGGTGCACCTGCGGTACCGTCCGGGCCTCCCGCTCGTGCTCCGCGGCGTCTCGTTTTCGATTCGCGCGCGGGAAAAGGTCGGCGTCGTCGGACGCACGGGCGCCGGCAAGTCGAGCCTCGTGGTCGCGCTGCTCCGGCTCGTCGAAGTCGAAGCCGGTCACATCGAGATTGACGGCGTCGACTTGCGCACGCTCGGGCTCCACGACGTCCGCGACCGCATCGCGATCATTCCGCAAGACCCCGTCCTCTTCTCCGGCACCGTACGTCGATGGTCTCTTGGGGTATGACGAGTGAGCAACTGCACGTAGGTGCGCTCCAACTTGGATCCGTTCGACCGGTTCGACGACGATGCGCTCTGGACGTCGCTCAAACGCGCGCACCTCGACACCAAGGTAGCATGTCCATTCAGCCTCTAGGAACCGACGAGGGTATCTGTAGGTGACGCGGCTCGACGCGATCGTCGACGAGCGCGGCGTCAACTTTAGCGTCGGCGAGCGCCAATTGCTGTGCATTGCGCGCGCGTTGCTCCAGAAAGCGGCCGTGCTGCTCATGGACGAAGCGACGGCGTCCATCGACGCGGCCACCGACGCCGCGCTGCAAGAGACGCTCCGCAACGAGTTTGGCACTTGCACGTGCATCACGATCGCCCACCGCATCAACACGATCCTCGACGCCGACCGGATCCTCGTCCTCGACAACGGGGGCGTGGCCGAGTTTGACACGCCCGCGAACCTCCTCGCGACACCCTCCGGCCTCTTTAGCAGCCTCGTGACGCATTGGCGTCACGGCCATGGCGATGCGCCGGTCGTCGTCTAGTCTACATCGTTGTTGATTATATACTACGTGGATGCGGGTGCAGTAGGGTTCGGGGTGGGTAGGGGTGTTGGCTACAAATAGACTGCCCGGGATGAAAAGCCATTTTGAAAAGCGCGATAGCATGCCGACGCCAGTGCCAACGTCCAAGGAGCTACAAGCCCTCAAGCGGGAGGAGCTCCAGCGCACAAGCATTGTTGTCGGCTACGACCGGCTCGACTACGCGACCGCAGGCAAGGAAATGACGGCGCTCGCAACAACATACCAGCGCTTGACGCCCGAAGAGATCGCCCACCGCCAGCACATCAAGACCGACAACCGCGCGCGGCACTTTGATGTCGGCGACATGAACGAGCCGGGCTTGAGCTACGAGACGTCCAACGCACAGGAAGACCCGACGGGCCAGCTGCACAAGTACACGGCCAAGCTCAACGTCGAGGCCAAGGGCATGCTCATGCGCACGTCCGCAACCTTTGGGTACGCCAAGCCCGTGCTTTCGACCTCGACCAAGGACGCGACGCAGTGGAGCCGGCCAGCGATGGACCGCGCGATCGCGATGCGCCAAGAGACGCGCAAGCTCACGGGTGCGTTGTCCTTTCTGGGCTCGCCATTGTGACAAAAACGGGAATGTAGGTCCCAAAAAGTGCCCGTTTGAGTTTGGCGACGACGCAATTGAGTACGTCTCGACCGCCAAGGGAACCATGAACTTTGATCCGAAGGACGCCAAGTGCGCGGTCATGGCGGCCGAGGTCAAAGACGGTAGGCCATGGACAAAAAAGGGTACTAGACGCAAATGTGGTAGAATTGCGCAAGTGCCATTTTGAGTTTGGGTGCGATGCGCGGTCGTACTCGACGTCGTCGAACGTGCCCGAGATCGACCCGGAGCTGTACCGGCAAATGGCGAAGAAGCAAGTGCCGCTCCATGACCCGCGCAAGAACAGCGTCTTCTTTTCCTAACTCAATCTCAATTGGTTGCATTGATTTTAAAAAAGCGGGTAGCGTCGGTGCGCAAAGAGCTTCATAAAGATATACATGCCGAGGAAGACGACAAAGACGAGCGCGAGAAGCAGCAGCATCTTCCACATCGTGAGCCCGTTGTTCAAATGCACCTCGAGCCGCGCGTTCTCCGAGTCGAGCTTGGCCAAGTTGGCCTGCGCGCGGTCGGCAACGCTGTTGATGAGCGCCGCGTCGTCTTGGAGCGACTCGTCGTAGCTGTGCGCGTACGCCTTCAAGTGCTGTGTCATTTGGTACATCTCGGCCTCCATCGCGTCCTTCTCTTCTTTCGACTGCTCGGCCGAGGCGCTGGCGCGCACGCCTCTCGTGCCCGCAATGCTACAGAAGGATCATGCATGACGAGGCGCCAGTGCATGCATGTACCCGAGCTTCTCGCGCATGTCCTTGAGCGAGGCCGTCGGCTGTTCCGGCATATGCGGCGTGGCGCCAAGGAGATCGTCCAAGTCCTCGATGAGATCGTTGGTGTCGTCCATGAGGCTGACGTTCTGCGCGTCCCAGCCACTCTGTACGTGCTCTTCCAGCTGCGACAAGATCGAGTCCACGTGGCTCTTTGTCGGCGGCTCGGCAGCGCGCTCGACCGCCTGGACGCGTCGTCGCCGCAGGACGTCTGGCGGCGGAAAGATTTGGTTCTCGTGGCGAAACTGGGGAGGGCAGAGACCGTGGAGATCGCCAAGAACGCCGACAAGCTCGTCGTACTCGGGCGTGCAGCTCAGGCTCGGATCCAGCTCCATGTGCTTGAGCGCAAACTCGACATTGCGGCAGTACTACGTGCAGCGACTCGACATTGGCATGCAGAGAAGGCAGCGTACCGTGGCGACGGCCTCGCTCGAGGCGCAAGAGGCCGACGTGAGGAAGCGCCGGGACGCGGTCAGCAGGCGCCGCTGGCTCACGCGCTGTGACGTCATTATTGCCGCTTGCCAAACTGCCCCTTATGATATCCGGCCGCCGGATAATCGACGCTGAAGCTCAAACTCAAAACAAAATGCGCACGCTTCTGCATTAGTGCATGCCTTGCACCGAGCTCGAGCGCGACTCCAGACATTGCAGGCAGGGTAGAGTCGCAGCGATGTCCATGCAAGCTACGGTGCTAGGCGCGTTGCGTCATCAGCATAAGCGTGGAAGGACTTGGCGGAAGAACTCTATTTCTCAAAAGACACTGCCTGGGATAGCTAATTAGTTCTTGGCGTTGTAGGCCTTGGAGTCTTGGTTGAGAGGGTTCTGCGGCGACTTGCGCCACTACACAGGATCTAGTGTGAGTCAAAGTAGAGGACGAACGATACCATTTCGCTGAGACGCTGCTTGTACTGCGAGAGCTTCAAGCCCGGGTAGTCTTCCTTGAGCTGCGGCATCGTGACCTCTTCGAACGCCTTGTATGCCTGTAGGAAGAATAAGCATCGCTCGAGAGCGCAGCAGCTTCTTGTACCGCCTTGGCACGGCGCTCCGGGTGGCGCTCGTTGCCCTTGTCGTCCGTGCTGAGCAACGCGAGCGCGTCCTCCACCGAGGTCGCTATCATGCAATATAAGATCTCAAGCTCCTTGCAGTCAAGCGACGTACCTTCCAGAGCGTCCGAGACGTGGCGGTTCTTGTTTTCATGCAAGTCGATGTCGTCGTTGAAGACAATGTCGTGGCGACCGGCGGGGCGGGCTGGGGCAGGGTCGGCAATGACACGCGGCGCCGGCGCAGGCTTGGCACGGCTACCCTTGTTGCTCTTCTTGCCCGTCGGCTCCAAAGCGAGTTCCCACGGCTTGTCCATGTCCTTCATGTTCTTCGTCTTGGCCTTGGCCTTGACGCCCGACAAGGCGGCTTCCTCTTCTTCCTGGAGACGCTTGAGCTCCGCCTTCTTCGCATCCGCTTGCTGGCGCTTGAGCTCCTCTTCCTGCTGGCGCTTCGAGCCGCGGGCATCAGCGCCTTGCGCCCACTCCACCGCCGCCGCAGCTTCGGCCTGGGCAGACTTCTTCTTGTTCTTCTCCGCGTCGTTGGCGGCCTACGCGTAGCCGACAGACAAGACGAGGACGAGACCATGCTGCGTACCTTGCGCTCGTTGGCGGCCGCAGCCTTCGAGTTCATGTTGCCCTTCTTCGGTCCCATCGTTGCAGTCTCTTGCGTTTGGTGAAAATGCGCTAATTGCCATTGAAATTGCGTCTTATCGGGAAATATCCGGATACGAGTTCTGCGTTGAGGTCAAAGACTAAAACCACTCAACTAGTCGATCTGCGATGCTGGCTGCAGCACAATCCATCGGCGCGACGACGCTGCAGCCACTCCGACTAGCCTTGAGTCGACCTTCCTTTGCTGTAAATCTCGAGCATTTTCAAGGACCGACGCGGGCCGCATGCCACTAGCCAATCACGGTGGAGGGCGTGGTGGTGTGCGGCCAGCCAAGCTCTTTCCCACTTTGATGTATCCGGATCCGTCAACCTCGCCCAAGATTCGCATGATCGCTGTGCGGGGGCTGCGGCAGAGCGAAGAGGACGCGTGGCTCGACCACGTCGCCGAGGTCTTCCGAAGCGGCGCGACGCGGGCATACTTTGCCTCGCACCTGCACAATGACGCGCGGGCGCTCGAGAGCTGGGACAACATTCTGGTCGCCATCGACAATGGTACCATCGCGGCTAGCGTCCGCGTTGTCCCTCGCTACCAGTACTGGAATGGCGCCGCAGTCGCCATGTCTGGCATTGCCGAAGTGTCCACCAAGGAGGCGTATCGCCGTCGCGGTCTGGCAGCTCAGCTCATGGAGGCCGCGATTGACGGCCCAATGGCGACCTCGCAGGTGTCCTGTCTCCATACGAGCTTTGAGCGCATTGGCCACATCTACGCTCGACATGGCTACGTCTCCATGCCGCACATCAAGATGCTAGTGCGCTCCACTAGCGGCGTGCCGGCCTCGGTACGACTCGTTCCGCTGGACCTCGAGCGCGACTGCGACGCGTGTCTGCGTATCTACACGGTCTTCTCGTCGCGCTTCAGCGGTCCCGTCGCCCGCGACCGCGAGTACATCTTGCACTGGGTCCGAGCGCGTCATGCGCAAAAGTCTGTGCGCGCGATTGGAGCATGGCGCGACGCAGAGCTCCTCGGCTACGTCTTTGCGTGGTCCGAGCCGAGCGAGCGGGCGATTGAAGAGATATGCGTGGACCCGCTGCTGGCAACCACCGAACAAGCAGCGATTGCGAATGCGCTCCTGGCACATGCGACGTCACAGCCCGTGCTGGTGTCTGCGCCTGTCGTCGCAGCGTTGCACCTGAGTGCCGACGCTAGCGCTGAGGCTGTTTGCGACCACGGCTGGATGGCCCGTGTTCATCCGGCACTTGGTCTCGCACCGTTTCCAGCTGATCCGCACAACACAGTGTTTTGGGCCACCGACGATTTTTAGTTGGCGCGTCAACTATTGTCTAATCGAGCTTCATTTTCTGAATAATCACTGGCACAGGATTGTGAAACTTCGCAGAACACGCCACGTCATGGAGTTGAACTGACCGACATGTTGCGCCTTCGTTCGCTCGCAGATTGGAAGGAGAGAGGCCGACACACAGTGTTGTGGTTGGCTCTCCGCAAAATGCATCAGGAGCCGCATGGTCGCGCCGAGTACATTTTCATTGACCAAAAAAGGACCAATCGGTTGTGTGTTTCCCGGCAATGACGACGCCATCCTCCATGGCCTCTTCCACGACATGCACTACGTCACGCGTGACGGCGTGCTTATCGTGCACCGCTGCGGCCTTCTCTTCGTCGCCCTTGGCTTGGGTACGTGACGCGCCTACCGTCAGCTAACGGTGCGGCTAGGCCTGATTGCCTTTTGCGTCGCAGTAGCGGTGGTGGTGCTCACGGTGGCACACGTCGCTAGCGAAAGCGAGCCAACATAATTTACTTTTCAAATTTATTGGATTAATAATCCATGTATCAACCGATCGACCTCTCTGAATGCTGTAAGTCTAGATGCTGTGGCTTCAAAACTACCGAAAAGCAGCCGACCGCAGTGGCGGTGGCGGACAATCACGA